TAAAGGAATGTCCTTAAAGTATGACACATATGTTCGCTGAGAGCCTGACCCAGCACCTAAAGCCATGCTGACTATCTCCTGGCTTTGAGTTAGGGTGGCCATTAGTGGTCAGGGGGTATTCCTGGGGTAAGGAGAGGGAGATTACAATGCGGCGGTTGGAACCGTTTGCAGGTGGTGGACAAGTTCGGTCATTTGATTGTGGTGATGGTTTCCTGGGTGTATACACAATGTAAAATTTACTAATTGTATACCTTAAATGAGTGCTGTTTAGTATATGTCAACTATCCCTCAATAAAACTGTTTTGTAAAAGCCAAAACCAAAAAGTAACCCAACCATTAATTAGTTAATTTCAGGACAGGATAGATGTTGATGGGGTGGCCTGGCTGACCTAGCTGAGCTAAGATCCTGCCTGCCCATGCATCTGTGGCCACTTGGCTGGCTGCTTGGGACTGGCTCGCTCGTCTGGAAGACCCTGGAAGGGGAGAGTCCACACCGCTTCACACACCTCCCTCGTCCTTCCCCCCAGTCCTGCAGCAGGCTTGCCTGGGCATAACCTCATGGTAATGGATAGTCTGCAAAAGGAGCAGAAGTGCACAGGCTCTTTTTAAAGTCTCCTTCTGTGTCAAGTTTGTTAGTGTTCCATTGATCAACACAAGCCACATGGCCATGCCTGGACACTGTGTTAAGGCACTAAGAAATTTGGGGCCAAATGTATAAATACAGGGATTTCATTAATTTGTCTATCAATGCAATTAACCTATCATGTACCTTAATGTTGTTTTTTGATTTGGATTTATTCCATCAAGAAAGTATTTTTAGCCCTAACTGGTTTGGCTCAGTGGGTAGAGCATTGGCCTGTGGACACAAGGGTCCGAGGTTCAATTCCAGTCAAGGGCATATACCTTGGTTGCGGGCACATCGCCAGTAGGGAGTGTGCAGGAGGCAGCTGGTCGATGTTTCTCTCTCATCGATGTTTCTAACTCTCTATCCCTCTCCCTTCCTCTCTGTAAAAAATCAATAAAATATATTTTAAAAAAAGAAAGTATTTTTATACGATGATAATTTCTTAGATATAATTTGCCATCTCTTTTAATCCCATACTGGATGTAATTTAGCTATTGATCTTATATGTTTGCATTAATTATATGTGAGGGATAATAAGGTCTTTTATGGTATTTATCACATTGTCATGTTCTGTTAAGATTTCTTTTGCTGTTTTTGTTATACTAGAGGCCTGGTGCATGAAATTTGTGCATAGGTAGGGTTCCTAGGCCTGGCCAGCAATCACGGCCAATCAGGTTCCCCATCTCCCCGCCTCACTGTCTCCTCCTTCCCTCACTCCCTCAGTGCCCTGCCACCGCCACTGGTTGCCTGCCATGTTCCACACCGCCCCCAGGTGGTCAGCACATGTCATAGCGAGCAATCGAACTCCCATTCTCCCAGTCGAACTCCCAAGGGGACACTTTGCATATTAGCCTTTTATATATATAGATATATAGATGTGGCTATAAAAATGTTTCAAAATAGTTTAACTTCCAGCAAAAATAAGTTTAAATATTCTCTCTTGATTTCAATGGTTGAATACATTGACCTTCCCTCTCTAGCTAGCTGGGATAAAACTATTTTTTTTCTTCTAATTAGAACTGTTTTTAAAAGACTTTTTACTCTGTACTATATTTATAATATTAACCTGGAAGCAAATTAAATTTTGCAGCTGAAGGATCAGAGGCTTAGTTCAAGCTGCCAAGTTCATCTAAGATCAAGCAGAGAGCAAGTGGTGGAGGCAGGCTTGAATCATCCTCTGACTTAAAATTTGATTCACTAAACTATACTAAGGTAAGAACATTTGGTTAAGTGGTAAAAATCTATGTTTTTGTGTAGAATGTACTTCCCACTTTTCCCTTCTCCACTTTCTCCTCCCCTCTCCTCACATACTTTACCCTCCTACTTCTTCTTCCTTTTATTCATTTAATAACACATCAGGTGCTGAACTAGATTCTGGGATTTACAGATAATTATGTAGCATATCCTACCCTTGGTTTATAGAAGCTGTAAATAGGTAAATGGAATATGGAAAATCCTCCTATTTTAAATATTTACAAATCTGAGATGTTACATGCCAGTTTGGTGGGTTTGCTGATGAGTGTGGAAAGTCTTTATGGTATGATGGTTTTAAAATCCTTTTTTTTGTTTTCATTAATTGCTGCTTTTGTTGTTGTTGTTAATCCTCACCAGAGGATATTTTTTGCCATCGATTTTTCAGAGAGAGTGGAGAGGAGGGTGGGAGGCAAGGGGAGAGAGACATCAATGTGAGAGACACATCAACTGATTGCCTTTCTCACGCACCCTGACTGAGGGTAGGGCGCAAACCCACAAACCAGATATGTGCCCTTGACCAGGAATTGAACCCGCAACCCTTTGGTGCTTGTGATGACCCACATCCCACGTGGTTCAGGATTCAGGCTCTGGAGAAGGGCCACGCAAATGACAGAGACAAGAAATAATAATTTGGAAATTGGGGGGCCAGGCGGGAGCCCACTTGTGCTCAGGCCTTGCCATCCATTCAGTTTGGGATACACCTATAGCCCTTAGGCAGGCAATTTCCAGTAACAGACAGACAATCTTATCAGTAAGGATTTACATGACTATCTGGTCGGAAGTTGCTTCAGCTACCATACAGCTCTGACCTTTGCCAGGGCTCAAGGGTCACCAGCATTCTGGGCTCCTTGTCCACACCTCTCTGCTAGTGAAGTCAATAGGCGGCTTCCCACAGGTGCTTGGGCCAATGCTCCAACCACTGAGCAATAGCAGGCAGGGCTGATTGCTGCTTTTTTGGTGTGTGTTTCGCTTTGTTGTGCTCGTTCATTTGCAGGATGTTTCTGGACCCTGTGGCATTCCTTATTGTTTTGTCATTTGTTTCCTAGGGGTTTATTCTTCTTTGCTTTATTATCATGATTGTGCAACCTTCTCCCTTGGATTTGAATTAACTGAGCAAGTTTATCTTTACTATCTCGGATTCTTTGTTCTGATTATCCAAGCTAGTTCTTTTTCTTTATTTTTTTAATTAATCTGAGAGACAGAGAGAGAAATATCGATGCAAGAGAAAGACTCACACAGTTGCCTCCTTGTAGGACCCCCGAACCAGGGCCAGGGATCAAACCTGCAACCCTTCTGTGGTTAGGCTGATGGACACACTAAGCACTTATCAACACCAGCCAAGGCTGGCATTTGTATTTTTAATTAATAATATAAAATTTCATATCCTGTATAATAAAAGCCCAGTGATCAAACAGCACGGATGACCAGAACAACCAGTCAACCAGTCGCTGTGATGTGCACTGACCACCAGGGGGCAGACACTCAATGCAGGAGCTGCCCCCTGGTGGTTAGTTCACTCCCACAGTGGGAGCACCGCTTGGCTGACCAGGATGAGCGGCTGCTTCCGCTGTGGGAGCAGCCACCCAGAGGGTGGTCCACAGCCGCTTGGCTGACCAGGATGAGTGGTGCTCCCACAGCAGAAGCAGCCGCTCAGTGGGTGGGTCCACAGCTGCTTGGCTGACTGCGATGAGTGGCACTACCACAGTGGGCCAATCCCTGAGGTCACACCCCCCACCAGTGCACGAGTCCCATGCACCAGGCCTCTAGTATTCATATAATGTTTAATAATATATATACACAAACTTTTTTTTTAATATATTTTATTGATTTTTTACAGAGGAAGGGAGAGGGATAGAGAGTTAGAAACATGTGGCTCTTTTTTTTTTTTTTTTTAATTTATTGCTTAAAGTATTACAAAGGGTATTACATATGTGTACATGTGGCTCTTGTGGGCGCGTACGTACAGTGCTATTGAAACTTCGTGGCCCATGCGCAGAAGTCGGTATTTTGTGGAAGAGCCACACTCAAGGGGCCAAAGAGCCGCATGTGGCTCGTGAGCCACAGTTTGCCAACCACTGGGTGGATAGAGTATCGGCCTGGGGACTGAAGGGTCCCAGGTTTGATTCTGGTCAAGGGCATGTAACTTGGTTGCAGGCACATCCTTAGTAGGGGGTGTGCAGGAGGCAGCTGATTGATGTTTCTCTTTCATTGATGTTTCTAACTCTCTATCCATCTCCCTTCACCTCTGTAAAAAAATCAATAAAATATATTTTAAAAAATAAATAAATAAATAAAAATAAAGATAACTTGACCAAAATCAAATAGTTCTTTCCCTCTGTACTAATACTGTTTCTAAATCATTCTTCAAGAAACAGTAATATTAGAAATTAGGAATGTAACTTTCATCATTAAAAATAATTGTATATGATCAAATGATTCATAGGCTGATTAAGTGTCTTTTTAAAAAATATATATTTTATTGATTTTTTTCACAGAGAGGAAGGGAGAGACAGAGTTAGAAACATTAATGCGAGAGAAACATCAATCAGCTGCCTCCTGCAAACCTCCTACCGGGGATGTGCCTGCAACCAAGGTACATGCCCTTGACCAGAATTGAACCTGGGACCCTTCAGTCTGCAGGCCGACGCTCTATCCACTGAGCCAAATGGGTTAGGGCAGGTTAAGTGTCTTGATTAAACTGAAATCATGAATCATCCATCACATTCTTTTAAGGCTTGCAGAGTCTTCTAAGAAAACACACCTATCTTTAATGCAATTTCCTCAGGATTGTGTATTTTATCTTGTCAATGATTAAACAACACTTTAGTGCTTGTGTTAAGAACTATTTACTGCCCTGGTTGTTGTAGATCTGTGGTTGGGCGTCGACCCATGAACCAGGAGGTCATGGTTCGATTCCTGGTCAGGGCACATGCCCCGGTTGCAGGCGTGCCGATTGAAGATTCTCTCTCATCATTGATGTTTCTATCTCTCTCTCCCTCTCCCTTCCTCTCTTTGAAATAAAAAACATACTTTTTAAAAAAAGAAACTGTTTACCTATTGTAAAGCACTTGAACTTGCAATATATAGAATCCTCCCCACCCCACCCCCACCTCCCTTCAGAAAGTGATTCCAAGAATGAGCAGTGATTTCCTTTTCTGAAAAAGGAAACAAGATTGAAGGTACCTGGGTTGAACTGTTTATAGGTATTTATGGGTATTTGTAGGATTAGCTTGAACTGAGATAAAATAAAATTAGCATCAGTAACAAAGAGGTGTTATTTCCTGTCTCCAGGATTTGTAGGACCAGAGCTTCAAAACAAAAAATAAAGAAAAGCCTGTTTCCCCTTGTAAAATTCAGTATCGTTTCTTTTTCTCATACCTAGCTAAAAAGGAAAAAAAATCTAAAGCTTTTTTTATTGTGGTAAAATATACATAAAATGAATCACTTTAACCATTTTAAAATGTAAAATTGAGTGGCATTAAGTCCATTTACACTGTTGTGCTACCATCACCACTCTCCACCTCCAGTAACTATATTCCTACTCTGCCTCAATAAATTTGTCTCTGTACCTCATATAAGCGGGGATCATACAATATCTGTCCTTTTGTGTCTGGCTTATTTCACTTAGTTTTCAAGATCCCTTCATGTTGTAGCATGTGTCAGAACGTCCTTGGTTTTTAAGGGTGAATAATATCCCATGTGTGCTTATATCATACTGTGTTTATTCATCCATTGATGGACACTTGGCTTGTTTCTACCCTCTGACTATTGGGAGTAGTGCTGCGGTTAACATTGGTGTACAGCCAAGTAACATCTTAAACAGCAATGGAACCCCACCACTTTTTCCTCTTTCCTCTCCTCCATACCCCTGTCCTAGTCCAGATCTCAGCCCCTCAGGGCAGGGACTGAAGCTACATCAGCCCCACAGGTGTAAAGAGGGTTTTCTAAAACAACCTTTGTCTTTACCCTTTCTTCCTTGGCCGGACTTTGTCCCGCCAGGTTTATTTATAAACCACACAAGCTCATTAACGTGACCAAGCATTTCAGTAATCCACCTTTGTTACTGCAGGAAGGCACTTGTCAGGGGTAAGGCAGTGAGACATGGCTGAGAAGAAAAGCCAGAGAGACTCTATTGGAATGGATGCGAAGGGATGCCGAACAAACAATGGGTTTGTCCAAAATGAAGACATCCTGGAAAAGGACCCGGATCCAGGCAGCCCAACGGACAGGCCACAGCTCTGCTCCTTGCCTATCCTTGACCCCCGGGAGCTCGACTTCAAGGACATCCAGCCCTACGCCGGGATGCCCAAGGAGGTGCTGTTCCACTTCTCAGGCCAGGCCCGGTACCGGGTGCCCCGCGAGGTCCTCTTCTGGCTCACCGTGGCTGCCGTGCTGGTGCTCACGGCGGGCACCATAGCCATGATCGCCGTCTCTCCCAAGTGCCTCGACTGGTGGCAGGCAGGACCCATGTACCAGATCTACCCCAGATCTTTCAAGGACAGCGACCAGGATGGGAACGGAGATCTTAAAGGTGCAGGGGGTGGGGTGGGGGGTGGGGGTGGGTGGGGGGTGTTGGGTGGGGCCAGGATGGGGGGCGGGGGCGGGGCGGGGGATTGTGGCATTCTCTGTCCTTGAAACCGAATTATGTCCGGGTTGTATGGTAAGCACATTCCAGTAGGACTGGTCACACCTTGTTTATGATGTTTTTGAAAGCCATTCAGCAAAAAACAGAAATTCTTCCCGTATGATGAAATACTACTTGGAAGCCTTTGAGCACCCCCGCTCCAGAAAAGTTGTTTCATTTACTTCTCACTAAGTACATATGCTTGGTTGGTCATCAATGCTGACTTCTTACATGCAGCAGGGGTCCTCCTGAAAGTGTCCTGCTTCTATGAACTTTATAGCCGATCATCTCACGGTGGCAGCTTGGAATTTCTTTGCTATCACATGTAGTGGCTAGGTGAGCAGTCTGGCCCAGAGTTTCTTATTAGTGAATAAAGCGTAGGTAGTATTTCAGCAAAATATTGTGATGTCATTAAAAAGTGTAGGCTGAGACTTTAAAGCATAAATGCTGAGAAATGAAGGAAAGGAAAAAAGGCATAGCAGTGTGCTGGTCATTACTTGAATTAAAGGTTATTTAAAACAATGTCTATATTATTAAAAATAAATTAGAAGTAACAATTATATTTTAAAGTTACACTGATAATCTCCTAGTGAGTTAAGTGTAGAAGGTCCTTATTTATTGTTTAAACCAGGGTAAAAATGTAAAATTATGCCAGACAACAGGTATAAACTGGAACTGTTCTGGGGAAATCTGTTGATATGGTCACCCTAGTTAATGGCGGCAGTGAGAAATAAATAAACTGGCCCTGGCCTCGTAGCTCAATTGGTTAGAGCATCGTCCCAATACACTAAGGTTGTGGGTGTGATTCCTGGTCAGGGCACATACAAGCAGCAATCAATGAATGCATAAACAAGTGGAACAAAAGATTGATGTTTCTCTCCCTTCCCCTCTCTCTCTCTTTCTCTCTCTCTTAAATCAATTTAAAAAAAAGAAAGAAAGAAACTAATATGGTTGTTTTTTATAGTGATGTTTGGTCTAAAGATCGGAAAACAGAATGGTTAATTGAATGTGGGGAGTGGGAATGAGCTTAATCTAACCTTAAAATAATACAAATAAACTCAAAATCTCCAACTTTTCTTTTGCACTCATATCATTTTCTCTCTCTTTTTTAATTTATTTTTTATTTTTTTAATTTTTTAATGTTTTTAATTTTATGTGCCTCAGGCATGAAATAGCTCTGGCCACCGACCCAGGCATCAAGCTAGGATGAACTAAGGACTGTACATCTTCTTTGACCCTGACTGATATAAGAGCAACACCACCAATCAGGTGTCTCCTTGCCCATTGCCAGGGGGTTCATTTTCTCTCTTTTTAAAAATCTTCCTATATCTTCACTAATTGAAATACTGTTAGTCCTTCAAGATGCAGTTCAGACCCATTTCCTGCATTCATGTTTATTTCTCCCTCTAATCCTTCCTCATCAGCATGCTGCCCTCACTCCCAGAGCTCCTACTGTGCTTTGGACATTGTTTATGGCACCTTCCCACACTGCCTTGTCATGGGCTGGGCGATCCCTTCCACACCCTCCACCCCACCAGACCCCCAATGGCCCTAGCACCTGCTGCCTTTTATGTAGTATGTGCTTAGCAAAAGTGACAGTTTTTGACAAAATAGACCTAAACTCCCTAAACCCAAAGATACATGCCCCACTTCCTGGTTCTCCCTTTGTAACTGTCTTCTAGACACGGTCCTTTCCCCCACCACGCCCATGCAGAAGTAAAGCATTCCTGTGAAACCTTTTATAAGCTGAATGGGCAGAGGTGAATAAGCAATCACCATGAATTTATATGGGAAAATTGTTGAGCATCCCCAGACCCAAACATAACCTATCAAATCATACCAAGTAACACATAAAATCTAAAGTAACAGTAACATAGAGTAAAAGCAGGAAAAAGGATGATATACAGGGCACATCTTGCTAACAGATGCACAAAATAGGGATACAATGCAGATGCTCAGACACAGTTCAAGGCTATGGGGCTTGATGCTGAGATGCTGAGCATAGTTCCCTGGAAGGAGCTTCGTAGGGCCATTCTCGGCTGCTCTGGGTACCACCGCCTCTGTAACAGCTGCTGCAAAAACAAATGCTAAACACGCTTTTTTTCGCTTTTCACCTTTTTTCTTGAAAGTGAAAATCCTCTTCGATTTCTTTCAGTTAGCAAAAACAGGTATTAATGTACGTTTTTTTGTTTTTTGTTTTGTTTTTTTTTTGTTTTTAAAGCACAGTGGAGCCATGGGACTTTCAAAAAGTGGGGGATACCTGTATACCCCATTCATCTCTTACATTAGTCATTTCCAATAACTTTTTCTTGAAGAGCTGGCTCCTTCCTGTAATCAATAGGTATTGGTCCTTGAGGTTGAGGGGCTTTTGTTATTATTTGAAGAAACCATTGTAGGTTTCAGTTTGGTTTTGGTGATTGCCTTCTGTCCCCTAGGCTAGAGTGTGAATCTGGGATCCCTTTTTAACTTCTGCTTTGTGTCTGTCCAGCCTATGGTTTTTTTGTTTGTTTTGTTTTTAATATATTTTTATTGATTTCAGAGAGGAAAGGAGAGGGAGAGATAGACAGAAACATCAATGATGAGAGAGAAACATTGATTGGCTGCCTCCTGCATGCCCCCCCACTGGGGATCGAGCCCGCAACCTGGGCATATGCCCTGACTGGGAATTGAACCGGTGACCTCTTGGTTCCTAAGTCGACGCTCTACCACTGAGCTACACCCGGCTGGGCCAGCCCGTGGTTTTTATCATCTTGTTCCTTTGTGCCCATTCTTAAGATATATCATGCTGTTGTCCTGACTTAAATCAAAATCCTTTTGCTGCCTGTTGACACAGGGTGAGGTCTCAGAGCCACCCACATGGGGGAACTGAGGCACAACAAGGACAAAAATGGGCAGCCTGTGACAGGGGAAGAGCCCCATGCCAGAGGCAGGTGACTGTTTGGGGCACTGTGATCTCTGGCCTGCTGTGCGACACTGACAGGCTCTGACTGTGGAGGCTTCTAGGGGTCCCACTGAAAGTTACTGGAGATTGAATACTAGACAACTCCTGCGTCTACATTTAAAACTCTGAATTAGAGCAAGCAAACACACACAAAAACCCACCACACTATCTGCTAATTACCCTACAAGGTTCCAAGTACAAAGCGTTTCATTCCCGCACCTCTTCTCATCCAAGCCTAGAATTCCCGTCTGTGTACATACATTCTCGTCTTCAGCACTGTCCAGAGGAAATAGAATTACATATGTAATTTTACATTTGCTAGGAGCCACATCAAAATAATTTTTAAAAATCAGGTGAATTAATTCTAATAATGTACTTTGGTTAATATTTCAACATATAATCACAATAAAAATATTGAGATTTTTGACATTCTTTCTTTTCATAGTAGGTTTTCAAAATCCAGTATGTTTTCTATTTACAGCACAACTCAATTCAGACTTAGTCACATTCAAATGCTCAATAGCCACAGGTGGCAAGAGGCTCTCAGACTGGACAGCGCAACTTAGACTAAGGGACCCTAAGGGGCCATGTGTTATTCTTCTCTGTTCCTTGGCTCTTAGCCCAGCATGGGGCCTAGATCAGGTGCTCAAAAACCATGTGTAAAATGAATGAACAGTACTGTATCTTGGTTTTAAATGTGTAAAATGAACAAGCCACAGACAGATTTTATGTTATTGTAGCTATGTTAAAGGTAAAGGTTATTGCTAGAAGACTAATTTGCTGTTGTTTGTAGAACTAAACCTTGCTATTTGAATTTTCACTCAAATTCAAATTCTGTCTCAATATACATATTTTGATTTTAAGCATATTTCTTTATTTTTAATCCTTCAACCAAAAAAACCAAACTTCATTTACTTATTTTTCATGGACTTGATTTTTTTATTTTTTTAGGTATTCAAGATAAACTGGACTATATCACAACTTTAAATATAAAAACTATTTGGATTACCTCATTTTATAAATCATCCCTTAAAGATTTCCGACACGGTATTGTAGATTTCCGAGAAATCGATCCCATTTTTGGAACAATGAAAGATTTTGAGAATCTGGTTGCAGCCATACATGATAGAGGTAAACCAAATGGATATTGGGTCAGAGGGGTGGGGTTTGAAAAAAGCATTTCTCTAAATGCTTCCGTAAAGCATTTTTTCCTTACCTGTCATGTATTATTCTAATATAATCTTTACCTAACATTTGAAACATTTTCATTCATTAGGTTTAAAATTAATCATCGATTTCATACCAAACCACACCAGTGATAAACATGCTTGGTTTCAATGGAGTCGTACCCGGACAGGGAAATATGCTGATTATTATATCTGGCACAACTGTTCCCATGAAAATGGCATAACCACACCACCCAACAACTGGGTAAGTACCAGCTTGCCTGGTAATAAAATAAAAATGATCAGATCTTCAGGGATTAAACTGCATATTTATAAAGCCCCTTTAAAGAAAAAAAAAATTAATGGGTATAGTGTATGAGAAGGGGAAAGTTTCCCAAAGAAATAAAAATAAGGTGCCCAAGCCTCCCAATGTCATTTGGATTTCTGATTTCATTGTAGAGCTACTCTCTATTAGCCTTTCCTTCCCTCCTTCCCTCACTTCTCACTTTGTCCCACTTAGATCCCAGGCCCCATTAGTTTCATAAGTGTCTTGCTATGCTCCAGAACCCCTCGCCTTTCTGACATTTTGCCTTCCCATCCAACAAAACTCTAGCCATAAATGAACCCAACTGTCCACTTTTCTTTCTCGGAACCTTTGCCTTTGGAAGTAGCACACACTCATTGTCCCCACCTGAAGTGAGCCATCCAGTTTCTTTGGGAAGTCCAACAGATCAATACCCTCCCTCCTCTGCAAACATCCTAATTGCATTCTCCCTATCTTATCACTCTCAGCAGTAAACTCTACTGTTCAAACAGAGAACAGTAGCCAGCAAACCTGCCCGCCCTCACTCCCACCCTCTTAATAATCACTTCTTTTGCAACAGAGGTTACCAGATTTACAAATAAAAATCCAGGAAGCCCGCCCTGGCCTTTTTCCCCTCATTGTTCTCCGTATTCATTCATGTAGTTTTGGTATGTATGGTTCATACAATTTCACTGTGTAAATATTCTATGATTTACTTACCTTCTCTCTCTCTCTCTCTCTCTCTCTCTCTCTCTCTCTCTCTCTATACATATATATATATATATATATATTTTTTTTTTTTAATTAATTTCAGAGAGGGAGGGAGGGATAGAAACATCAATGATGAGAGAGAATCATTGATTGGCTGCCTCCTGCATGTCCCACACTGAGGATTGAACTCAAAACCCGGACATGTACCCAGACCAGGAATCGAACTGTGATCGCCTGGTTCATAGGTCAATGCTCAACCACTGAGCCACGCCAACTGGGCTGCTTACCTACTCTTTAGCTAATGGAAAGTTGGTCTGTTTTGGTTGTTTTTACTATTAATGATGCCATTGTAGACATTCTCATTAATCTATTTCTCCTGGGGCACATGTGAAAGAGCTTCCTGAAGGCAAATGCCCCGGAGTGCAGTTACTGGGGGCAGGATACCACATGCTTAACTCTACAAAGATAATGCCAAATTGATTATCGATGTGGTTGTACCAATTTATATCCCTTCCAACAGCATAAAAAATACATATTTTCATTAATTGCTCGTACTGCCAGACTTTGTAATTTTTACCAAGTGAACATAAATTGGTAACACATCGAAGTCTTAATTTTACAGTTATCTAATTGCTAATGATGATTTATCTAATTACTAATAATGTTGAATATCTTTTCACGTATTTATTCATTTGAGCTTCCGTTTCTGTGAAACACCTATTTATGGCTTCCCTATTCCCCAACCCCCATTTTTTTTGTTGAATTGCTGGTCCCTCTGAAATGGATTTGTATAGTTCTTGTATTCCGGATACCGATTTTTTTTTCTTGGTTATATATACTGTAAATGTCTTATCCTGGTTTGTGTCTAGTGGGCCATGAGGTGAGCTGGCAAGGGTATGTTTCCTCAAAAGGCAGCAGCCAGTTGTTACTATAGAAGTGTGGACCCACTGTTATTAGGTCTTCCAACTAATACAAAGAAAACAACGCATGCAGTATTTGGCACTGTACTGATTCCTTCTTTCTGGAAACGTTCACACCTCGGCTCCATGCCATGGCTCCCCTAGTTGACTCTCCTACATGTCCCACCACCCCTTCTCAGTCTACTCCAAGGGTGCTTACATGTGAGAAGCCCTCAGGGCTCTGCCTTGGGACATTTGTTCATTTCATGCTAAAGAGAACATCTGGACAACATTGGAAAACAGAAGGATTTTGCAACACATTGCGACCACGTTTGGGGACATTAGGCCAGTGGGTGGCATTTTAGGAATTAATTTGCCTAATCCTCTCCCTAGATTCTAAGGAAAACTCTAGGGATTTGTACACTCAGCCTGGGATGAGGGTCGGGAATGGTAATTATCATGTTTTTTTTATGGGCACTACTATCATATGAAAGATACCAAGTAACTGATTTGCTATTTTCTGTTTGCTAGCTAAGTGTATATGGAAATTCCAGTTGGCACTTTGACGATGTACGAAACCAATGTTATTTTCACCAGTTTACAAAAGAGCAACCTGATTTAAATTTCCGCAATCCTGATGTTCAAGAAGAAATAAAAGTGAGTACAGACACCTACTCAGACTTCTCTATGAGGTGGTGCTTAAGTGGTTATTTGATACACTTTATGTTGAACAATAACTGTGCGGGGAAAGTTGTGTCATTAAATTCTGGGATTAAGGAGTCAGTCAGATGCAAACATAGACTCTCAGATATGTTAGTGGCGCCTTCCTTCTTTTAACCCAAAATAATTGATATGGGAGGGAGGAAGAAACACCTGGTACCCACCTGAGCTCTGAGTTGCCCCTGTGCCTAACGGGGTGGTAGACAAGCAGGCAATTACAATGAAGTGTGCTGAGTCACCATGCAGTGGGAAGTAGGAGTGCACAGGGAAGGCACCTAGCCTGGGTGTCCAGTCATGGAATAGGAGAGATCAGGGAAGGTTTTTCAGATGAAGCAATGATAACTAATGGGTGAGTACAAATGAGCAGGTTTCGAGGCATGGGTGGGAGTGTTCCAAGCAGAGAGAAAGCATGGAGAATGGCACATTAGAAGTGTCAGGAGTTTTCCAATATGGCTGGGACATGGCGTTTGGAGCGGGAGCTTGATTCAACAAGACCAGAGAAGGACTAGGTCGGAGCGGCATTGAAGGTTGTGGTAAGGCTTTGGGTGTAAAAGGTCTTAGACAGAAAAATAATATTTGATTTGCATTTTGAAAAATCAATCTGAGTTTGGAGAAGAGGTTGGAGTAGAGCGGGTTTGGAGGCAGAGAGAGGCCAGGAAAGAGGGTGGTACAGTAATCAGGGAAGAAATGCTGGGCTTTGGACCCATGAGGTGGCGTGGGTTTGCAGAGGAATCATCAGAACTTGGAGGAGTCCGGTGTGACTCCCAGATTTGGGATTTGCATGCTGACTGGGTGATGGTGCCATTTCCTGAGATGGGAGACACAGGAAGTGGGGGGGGCTGTCTTAGTTATGTAGAGTTGGCGCTCTCTCTGAGAGACATCCAACTGTTAGGTCAAGGAGCTCAGGGAAATGTCTGGTCTAGAGATAGAACTTTGGGATTTGTTGATGGATGGATAATGCCTGCAGAGGTCAGACAGCTAATATCAGGGAGAGAGCTAGGCTGGCTGTGATGAGCAGGGGGTCAATTGCTACTTAGCTTGAGCTGGTTGTTGTTATGTGGGAATGAGGGCCAGGTGTTGGTGGACCTTCCAATAATAAAAAAATAAATAAATGTCAGAGTAAACGTCAATCTCTTATTTGATAAACGAGAAAACGGAGGCCTGGAGAGTGAAGTGGGTGAATCGGTAAGTGTGCCATAGGGTTCCCGTTCTGGTGCCACCACTCACTTACTGTATGACCTTGGTCAAGGTATTCCATCTCCCTGTGCCTCAGTTCCCTCGTTGGTAAAATAGGAATGATAATAGTACATAACTCACAGGGTTGTTTGGGGACTAAAGGGGTTAACCTTTGTAGTGCACATTGGACAATGTATTCTTTATTATATAAGTACTTGTTAAATAATCAACAAATGGATAGATAAATGAGTAAATACTGTTGTGAAGTGAAATGAAGAGAAGGTGTTAGATGGAACCCCGAGGAGCTCTGAAGGCCTGTTGAGTAGACAGGTAAGGAGCGACAAGCCAGGAGCAGGGCGTCCTGCAGCGAAGGGATGTATTTGTAGAAAACGAGGTTAGTCAGCAGTGCCAAACATGGCAGAGAGTTCAGGAAATTTAAATACCAAAATGTCAATTGACACTAGCAGGAATACCTCATTTACCTCACAGACACCCTGCAGGTGGGTTTTATTTTATTTAAGGTTTAATGAGGTCATGCTGATGCCCTAACTCTTGCAGCTGGGCGGTGAGGGAGATGGGCGGTAGCTTGATGTTAGCTCATATTCCAGATCCCGGGATCCTTCCTCTACTCCTGGCTCCTAGAGGACTTAGCAAAGAATTTTACCAAGACTTCTGAGCAGCACTGTGGTTAGTTTTTCCTCCCCCCATTGCCTATAATCAGAGGATATAGTTTTCTCTCTGTATATCCTAGACTTTCTCATTCCTTCTTACGATGGATGACCTGGGGTTTATGTCATTATCAAAAGGAAGTCTTAGAGATCATCACATGTAAGAGCAGAGCTTCTCTTGCCCAAACCTGGCTTTTTAGGTAAACCCAGTAATGTTGGTCATCTTAAAAGGAAAGGTTTGGCTCAAGGTTTTGTGAATTTAGATATCAATAATGCTGCAATAATTCCTTTTTTGTTCAGAGCAGTGAGTTGCTTAAGGAGAAAAGAATGAACAAGTGCCTGGTAGAAAACCAGGACTGTGTGATGTCATGGGAGTTAGACAAGAATCGGGGACACAGTGTACTATCCCCAGAGTCCTGTGGCACCTACATGGGTCATCCGGTCCTGGCAGAACCAGGCTCTGTGCCCATTTCCACACCCGGCACCCAGGGAGAGCTTACTTGGAGTAAAAGAGGGTTAGTGGTTAAAACCTGGTGCTCCCTTCTCACCTGGTCAAGAGCATAAATAGCATGAAGCAAATCTTTTTCAAGAGCAAATTTTGGATTATCTGAGTGAAAACCTCAGCATTCAAAAAGACTTAAAAAATCAACATTCAGGTTTTGAAGTTTTGCTTCATCAAACAATGATATTATCTCTTACTGGACTAAAGTGAAAACCCCTGCCAAGGCCATAAACCTTTGTTGGTGCACACGTTTCTCATGCTTTAATGTCGGGCCAATAGTTAATGAGGCTGAGAAACCCTAAGTGGATAAGGACCCACTAGTCGCTTTATTCCAGGAAATCAGTGCTCAAAAGCTTCACGTTTACAGCATTTTGGTGTTTAATGGTTTCCACATTTTTGTCAGGGGCTGCTTGCTTGGCTGGATTATAGCTATTTGTGCTTCACCCCCACCCTGATCCTGTCATTGTTCCCTCTTGTAAGGAACAGCGCCACCTGGAGGTGGGTCCCGGTTGTGTGGAGTCTGAAGTTTCAACAAATTTGGGATCTTCTTTAAAATAAAAAGACTGTAAAATTAGGTGCAGAGAAATGAGTGTTTATTTAGAAGGAGAAAAGACCGTGGGAAGAAGGGGCTTGTACAAGTGAGGGGTCTTTAAGCTCGGGCCCTAAAGCGACCTAGATCCTGTTCTACAAATGAGGTGCCTCAATAGCTGTTGACTTCTCTAGCTCCGTCTCTAACCATTTGCCCTCACTTCTTGTCATCCTGCAGTGCTGATTCCTGGGCAAATCTTACTATTTCACCCTCTTGTATTACCTTGTTCCTCTCCTTGAAAGCTTTATCCTGGCTTTGATTTAAATATTTTTTTGCATTACAAGTTGATTGTCTAGTTGGGGATTCTAAAAATAGAATCCTGTTGGTTGTATTTTGCTCATGGTTGTAGTTCCAGAGCTTGGCTAAGTGCCTGGCCCAGAGTTGTAACTCAAATACTTATTATTTTTTAAATCCTCACTCAAGGATATTTTTTCCATTGATTTTTAGAGAGTGGAAGGGAGGGGTCGGGGCAGGGAAGAGAGAGTGATAAAAAACATTGATGTGAGAGAGACACATCAATACGAGCCCTGACCAGGATTGAGTCTGCAACTGAGGTACGTGCCCTTGGCCAGAATCGAACCCTGGGACAGCTTTAGTCCTCGGGCCAACGCACTATCCACTGAGCCAAACCAGCCAGGGCTCAAATACTTATTGAATGAATAAATTTGGTAAGAAGTAAAGATGCTAGGAGCTCCAGTTGCGCAATCGGTTAGCGCGCGGTACTTATAAGAAGTAAAGATGCTAGGAAGAACAAATTTGTGGGTTTTGTGCTCAAAGAAAAATTCCACTGGGTAGTACCAGCTTTTTGGGTCAATTGTGTCCACACTAAGGATTGTCAGCAGCCGAGCCTGCATAGCTTTGAAAAATTTTTCAAGTTTTCAAAAATGTCACCTTAAGGGAATTGACCTCAGCAGTATGAACCCTTCCATTTAGCCAATAGACACCTTGGAGCCCCTTGAATTTCAGCACCCGAGAGATTCCATAGTCACTTGTAGGTACAAGAAACACTTCAGCAGCGGTCGCCAACCGGTGGTCCTCGGAGTTGTGGCCCATGAGGTCCGAAAGGTTGGTGAGCGCTGCTTCAGAACGGTGATTGTTGGGCTGGTCCTCATTAGGGTTCTAAGGCTCTGTTCCCTTCAGCAGGTGAAAGTTGGCTACTTCACTATAATCCTTTGAATCACAAGTGGTTCTGCTTTAATATGAAACCTTCCATTCAGCAAGGGATGAGCCAGGGTCCCTTCACAGAAGGGTAGCTGTGGCCAGTGCTGGAGTAGGCCAGGCTGTGGGGGGATGCCTCAGGGTGGGAGGGGGAGCTGAGAACTAGGCCCTCTGCTTTCCCAGGGCCTCATCCTCCAAACTGCTCCAGTACAGGCCACGTCAAGTCAGTCTCTGCCCTCCACGACTGGGTCATGCTGTCCACTAACAGTCCACAATCATCTTCTTCTACTGAGACACTACTATACTAAATAGATAAAAATATACTATGGGTAGCTGTGCATGTTTTGGGTGAGGAGATGGCTGCTTTATTAACAGACAAAATCCTTATTAAACATTGTGATAATGTCTTTAATGTAACCACGTATTTTTCTTCGTTTTAGGAAATTATACAGTTCTGGCTCTCAAAGGGTGTCGATGGCTTCAGTTTCGAGGCTGTTAAGTTTCTTCTAGAAGCAAAACATCTGAGAGATGAGATCCAAGTGAATAAGACCCAAGTCCCGGTAAAGTATTGCCTTAGCTGTTTTTTCCCCTTTTCTGAAAATGTCATGAGTGTTTTTACTTTTTTAGAGTGAGACCCCAGTTACCAGAGATGCGTTCTGTTCTGTAGGAAGTGCTTTAAATCATTTTCTTTAGCGAACCCAGAGGAGTTTCAAATGCATATGACCCGATGTTCCTTCCCCTGGTTCGCTCAGGAGCCAGGGACCCTGTGAGGAGTCCTTCTGTGACAAGGGTCCTCAGGGCGTGAACAATGTGGACTCTACCAAGGGCCACCACTACTCACTGCAGTTTTGTCATCTCACTCAAGTTCCCCAGGCGCTTTTGTGCTCATTAAAGAGCACACAGGTGGAAGGATAGAGCACTAACACTTGCTGAGAGTCTATTGCAGGGGTGGGGGATGTCCGGCCTGAGGGCTGTTTAAGGCCCACAAAATCATTTGGCCTGGCCTTGCCAAGGCATTAGGGGTGAGGTAATTAAATGTTTGACCAAATAGAACAGGTTAATTTTTTAAAAAAATATATTTTATTGATTTTTTTACAGAGAGGAAGGGAGAGATATAGAGAGTCAGAAGCATCGATGAGAGAGAAACATCGATCAGCTGCCTCCTGCACATCCCCCACTGGGGATGTGCCCGCAACCGAGGTACATGCCCTTGACCGGAATCGAACCTGGGACCTTTCAGTCTGCAGGCCGATGCTTTATCCACTGAGCCAAACCGGTTTCGGCAGAGCAGGTTAATTTTTAACTTAATAATTTTATATGGACCATGAGCGATGTTATAAATATCCAAATGGCCCTTGGCTGGAAAAAAAAAAGAGTCCCACCCCTGGTCTATTGTATACTGTGTGCTGTTTACTTAGGAGTATCTTATGAGAGTGGTTTCATGATCCCCATGTAGCAAATCTTAGAGAAATGCACTTATCGGGGATGAGAGGTGGTAAATGGAGTTACAACCAAGCCTATCTCACTACAGAATCTGGGCTCTTTGTGGTGCCACACCTGTGGTTCTCAACCTCCAGGGCCCCCCTCCCCCGTCACTGATGAGAGATACTAATCACATGCCACTCTCTTCCTCTGGTCGACCACCACTCTACAGTCACTCCGTTTTCAAGGCCAAGTAGACAGTAGTCCTGAAATGCATTTCAGAATAATGGATTTGTATATTTACACAATGGAATGTCAAAATATATGAATTACAGTGACACATAGCGATACAGGTGAATCTTAGCAATAGCAAAACATATCTAAAATTATCATACATAGATAGCATGATGTCCTTTTTATAAAATTAAGCAAGTGAAATGCATATGGATATCAAGTTTATTATCAAGCTTTTGTCCTAAATGTGTGTGTACCATAACTTCATTAAAACAAACCAATTAACTAAAGAGAAGCTGGCTGAGCATGGGCTAATTATGATAGCACATCATGAACTGAAGGTTATGATTGTCTCTTTTTTTTTTGCATGTGACTTTCAATAAGAAAGGGGGAAAAGGTGATAAGGTAGCTGGTGGTTCCAAAGAGAAGCACTTATCCTTGAAGAAGAAATCTCAAAATAATCTTGCTAATTAATGATGAGATGTCATAGGAAAGGCATACCTTGCTAGTCTTGACAAATGATCAAAACAATGGGATTTGTGTGCTATCCAAGAAAAATTTAAAGATTATGTAATTTCAGGAAGAGACCTGAGATTCCAAAAAATTCACCTGGAAGTTCACCTATTTTCAAAAAAAGGGTCCACTGAATGGATGGCAACTCAGGTTTAGATTATCCTGGCTGTCCATGTCCATCCCAGGACCTACGACCTCGGCTTGTGTTAGATATAAACTTTTCTTTGGATTCTAGACTATTTAACCTTGGGAAGGCATAGAATATGTACCAGGAAAAAATTTCTGAAACCTGGAGACTATAACAGTTAAAAAAAAAGGCTAGAAGTGGTAAAAATCCTAACAAGTTTAAATGCATGCTATTAATACTTTGTGAGCAGATAATGTATAGGTATAAAAATGAGCTCTATAATCATTCAGATAATTTCCTTTCTTTGTCTTTAAAAAGTCTGGAGCATTTAGGACAATTAAATGTTCCAGAGGAGGATTTTGTTAAATAATTTGTTACCAATGTTTAGATGTTAAGTAGAATTTATTAGATTTATAGTTAATAATTTAAGTATCAAGTGCAATACTAATAGTCATAAATATTCTTTACCCACAAAACCCTTTGAGCATTGGAAGTGCTAGAGACAGTCTGCATTCACATTATTGGACATGGGAAATGATGGTAACTGTGCTGTCCTATTTTCAAAGGACACAGTCACACACTACGCAGAGCTGTACCATGACTTCACCACCACGCAGGTGGGAATGCACGACATTGTCCGGAGCTTCCGGCAGACAATGGACCAACACAGCAGGGAGCCTGGGAGATACAGGTAACAATAGGAAGTGCTTCATTACTTCCTGGTGCAGCAGTTTATCCTTTACATCCAGGCATTCTCAGGAGGTTCAAGTTATAGTTGAACAAACTTGTGTAATTACAATCTCTATATATAAAAGCCTAAGTGATTGTCTGACTGTTCGACTGTCTGACCAGTAGCTATGATGTGCACTGACCACCAGGGGGGCAGATGCTCAAATGCAGGAGCTGCTGAGCTGCAGTGACTTGGCAGCTGCGGTTCTCGGGTGACGCACTAGGAACCAGAGAGGGGGGTGTCCGATTCCAGGGTGTGTCATCCGAGAACTACCCTCTTGCAATCTGGGACCCCTCGGGGGATGTTGGAGAGCCAGTTTAGGCCCGATTTCTGCAGGCCAGGCCGAGGGAACCCACTGGTGTATGAATTTGTGCACCAGGCCTCTAGTGTATTATAACTCAGTTAGGCTGGGGCCTGTTATATTCTCTTGTTGCTTAACTTTGCTGATTTTCAGTTTCCTCTTTTGTAAAATGCTAACCATAGTACTTATTTCACAAGAATTTTGTGAAAATTAAAAGATAATGTTATCTAAATTATTATTACCCATTATTATTATTTGACCTGTTGGTATCCCTGTACAGTATGAATCCAATGTTTCAACTAAACATTAGTAGATCACAATGGTTAGGAACATGCTTTGGAATCAGATGGCCCTGAGAGGGACTCCTGCATAAAGGCTGTGTGACCTTGGACTGGTCAGTTACACATAAGTCTCAGTTTTCTCATCAATTAAAAGGTAATAGCCCTTGCTGGTGTGGCTGCATTGGTTGCAGTGTTGTCCAATACACCAAAAGGTGTTAGGTTTAATTCCCCAGTCAGGGCACATACCCAGGTTGTATACCTGGTCAAGTACATAGGGAAGATAACCAATTGATGTTTCTCTTGCACATTGATGTTTCTCTTACTCCCTCTCCCTTCCTCTCTCTCTAAAATCAATGGAAACATATCCTTGGATGAGGATATATATATATATATATATATATATATATATATATAATATAGTGATAGCCACATCCTTATAAAGCTGTTGTGAGATTACATGAGATAATGTATATGAAGCATTTAAAACACTGCTTAGCACATAATAAACAAAATAAACTTAACCCTTATTATGTTTGTGTAATCACTAAATAGAATCAATAGGAAAGGGGTTAAAGAAATTTCTCCTTAAAGTTGGTCCTCTGATTACTATCCCCATTTTACAGATGAGGAAACTGTGACTCTGAGCATGCAGGTAATGGTCACACATGTAGTAAAGGCAGGGGAACTGGAACACTTGGGTTCCAGATATACTTGTTCATTAACGTAATGTCTCAAACAGCTAAAGCCAGCATTGGTGTGGGTCATTTCAGGCAAATAACTGAGTGTTCCCCAGTACGAAAGTGAGACTTTACAAGGATTCAAATATAAGGCATTTTTTTAGGGGGACCCCCCCCCACCTTATATTCAGATATATACTGAAGATTCTAAGGGGAGTGATGAGAATTGCCAGTCTTCCTGGAAGTGACTGAGTTTTTTTTTTTTTTTTTTTTTTTTTAAATATATTTTATTGATTTTTTACAGAGAGGAAGGGAGAGAGATAGAGAGTTAGAAACATCGATGAGAGAGAAACATTGGTCAGCTGCCTCCTGCACATCTCCTACTGGGGATGTGCCCGCAACTGAGTTTTTATTAGACTAGAAAGAACAATATTGAGATCTAAATGTTTTAACTCGTAGACATGGCCTTAGTATTAGGCTAGTCTTTGGGTTTATTACAATGAGAAACTGTCCAGGTGACCCAGCATTTATTTCTTGGTCATCTGGCTTTTTCTAGTGAGTCCCAGCCCAATATGGTTAATAGTGAGCATTCATCGCCCACATCTTGTTAATCAAATGTAAGCACATTCCCAGGCCTGAAGACATTGTGCGCTGCCAACTCTCACAGGTTCATGGGCACCGAAGCCTACGGGGACAGCATTGACAGGACCATGATGTACTACGGGCTGCCTTTTATCCAAGAAGCAGATTTTCCCTTCAACGATTACCTCACAAGGCTGGACAGTCCTTCTGGTAATAGTGTGTTTGAGGTGGTCACATCCTGGATGGAACATCTACCAGAAGGAAAATGGCCTAATTGGATGGTAAGTTCTCATGCCCAGCTCTGCATATCTGGTGCTGGTGAGCTTATGGAATAAGTTATTTCTAAAATGAAGGATGTTTGTCCCCTAGTGACCTTCACCGTTCCCTTATTTGGTGATTGTTTGAGCTAGTCTTGCCCCAGCTTCTGACCGGGTTCTTTTCATTTGTCTTCATTCTTTTCCTTCTGGTTCTCAGGCTATACTCTCAATTGATCTGTCTTCAGGCTTGCTGATTCCTCGGCCAGGCCAAATCTGTCAAGCCACTCTACTGAATTTTTCATTTTTTTTAACTTTTCAACTAACATTTCTATTTGGTTCTTTTTCATTATTTCTCTTTATTGATAGTATCTATTTGATGAGGTATTATTCATCATACTTTAAAAAATTCTTTAGATTTAGTTTAGCTCCTTGAAACATATGTATCATAGTTGATTTAAGTCTTTGTCCAGTAAGTGCAATGTTTGGGTTTTCTCAGCCACATTTTCTATTGAATGCTTCCTCTCCCCCCCACCCCCCCTAATGTATGAGTCATACTTTCCTGTTTCTTTGCACTCTTGTATTCTTTTTTATTGTTGTTTTGAAAATTGGGCATTTTAAAAAATGTAATGTGAAAATTCTGGAAATTACATACTTCCCTTCCTAGTGTTTGATGCTGTTTACTTAGTGACTTTCTTGGACTAATCCTCCCAAATCTGTCTTCTTTGTTGTGTGGCCATTTCTCTGCTTGTTGGTCACCTGATGATTGGAGATTCTTTAAATGCCTTGAAACAGTAAGTCGCAGGTCTTCCTTGGACATCTGCACAGTCCTGTACATCGTGTAGCCTTCCAGGTTCCAGGAATATGCCAGAGCCCCTATGGACATCTCACTCTCCAGCCTTTTAAGTTTCTCGGCCAGTTTCTGGTCAGCCCCAGCTGGTACCACCACCCCTGGCAGGTGTAATGCTAAACAACAGCTACTGGTTGTTTTTGGCAAATGCCCTGGGGAAGGGGCTATTTGCAGAATCGGCTCTGAATATGATCAGGTAAAGGAAAAAAGTCCCAGCTGCTAGAGAGGTCAGTGACCATTCTTCTAGAGGTGAAGCTTCTGGCAAACGCTAAACCTATTCTACCACCACTACTGTAGTTACAAGTCTGTTGGTTTTCAAGGCGATCATAGATCTGAGGAGAGGGGCATGAAATTGGGGCAAGTTCAAATGACACAAAGCTTACCGATCCAAGATCTAGCCGTTTTTCTTGGATTTTTGCAAGCCTTTAGTTAATTACCTGAGTTCTGAGAAAGTGGATTTGCCAGTTCTCCTTTTATGTGATTTTTGGAGGTCCTTACTGCACCATTCCAGAAGTGCCCCCATATCACAGATTGCATAATGTAGTTTGAGCACTTGTTTTTTCATATACTGAGTCTCAGGTATCATAGGTGTCTGGGACCTCTCAGCCTGTGGGAGGCCCTGTTCTCTGTCCACTGCTGTGAACTATTTGTAGAAAAGTTCTAAAAAAGAAAGTGCTCTAGGCTTGAAAATCAGTGTTTCTTGCCAGATACTCTTAATGAAAAGAATAAACGGAGGCAAAATTTGACCTAATTTTCTGTCCTTAAAAGTAGAAATATACTTTACAGTGGCCTATAAAAGATCATTGTAAAGATAATTTTAGTACATCTGAAGGAAAAAAGCAACTTCCCTTTTCTTGAATTGTAGCAACTAAATTCCTATTCTCAGACTCAAGTTCAGAGGCTGGTTCTGCCTCATTCCCTGACTTGAATTTATGATGCAGCTTCTCAGGGCCCATTTCACCGTGAGTTATGGTATATGGAAGAGTCGTTAGGTGATTTAAAGGAACTCTTGAATAAGGACTAGATGTTACATATGTAATTGGAGCATTTCACATAGAAATATGAGATGTAAAAATAGAAAACTTTACAAAAAATTTTCACATGGCTATGTAAATTTCTTTTAATTTAAAACTAGTTTTGAATACTTCAAGTCACAGACATCAGAAGTTCTTGTCCCACCCTTGTCCCTTCCACCTGTTCTTTCCCTGTCCTGCTTTCTTTGGGAAGCATTTTCTTTTCATGTCAATATTCTTATCCAAATGTGCAAAAATACTAATGTGCACCCTCCTGAATCTTAGCAGATTTGCAATATCACTGTGAAGTAAATTATTTTGTTGATCATAATGGCCAAGACGGTGAACTGGTCAGTTAAGCAGCAAGTAGCAGGGTTAGGATTGAAATCCAGGTTTGCTGATACCAAGGATCCATGGTAACAACCTTGTCTTTCGCCTGGTAAACTTTTTGTGAAATGGTAAATCTGGAAAACTGTGTATAGAGTTGTGTTCTTAGAAATATATGCCTTTTAGATCGGTGGACCGGACAATGCCCGGCTGACTTCTCGTCTGGGGAAAGAATATGTTAACATCATGAACATGCTCGTGTTCACACTTCCTGGAACTCCCATCACTTACTATGGGGAAGAAATAGGAATGGGAAATATTTTAGCCACAAATCTCAACGAAAGCTATAATGTCGTAAGTTAATATAAATTTAACCAGCTCCATACCATATACTCATTTTTTGCCAAATCAGATAATTTACTATTTCTATTTCACAGCTGAAAACTCTTTTTCCTTTATTACTCTGAGACAGTGAGAATTCTTAGCTTTCCAGGCTGGGGAGCTTGTTAAAAATGAGACACATAATTGGCCTATGTACCAGGAGGTCATGGTTTGATTCTTAGTCAGGGCACATGCGGCTCAATCCCCAGGAGGCGGAGTGCAGGAGGCAGCTGATCAATGATTCTCTCTCATCATTGTTTCTCTCTCCCCCTCTCCCTTCCTCCGAAATATATATATATATTTTATATATAATATATAATATATATATATATATATATATATATATATATATATATATATATATGACACAACTGAACAACTGAATTTCTTGTGTAGTGCCCAGGAATCTGTATGTATTGATTGATTTGAGAGAGACATTGATTTGTCCTTGTATGTGCCCTGACCAGGGATTAAACCAGCAATGTTGGTGTACCAGGATGACCCTCTAATCAACTGAGCTCCCTGGCCAGGGCCCAGCTAATCCTTAGGCACACTAAAATTTGAGAACCAGTTTTGAGTTTGGAATATTATTCATTACCCTCTACATGTCTAGGAAAGTTTAATTATAGTGCTTGTCTATACTGCTAGATCTCACTTGACCATAGCACAAGATTCTTCCTGACATTTAAAAAAAATTGTTTTTGATTTCAGAGAGAGGGAGAGAGAAAAATATCAATGATGAGACAATCATTGATTGGCTGCCTCCTGCACACTCCCTACTGGGGATGGACCCCACAACCCTGACCTGACTGGGAATTGAACTCTGACTTCCTGGTTCATAGGTCGATGCTTAACCACTGAGCAACACCAACTGGACTCTTCCTGTTAGTTTAACAAAAGTAGCGCACAGCCTCAGACTTGGGTGGTTTTTATTATTTATTTTTTAAAAATATGGTTTTATTGATTTTAGAAAGAAGGGAAGGAGAAGGTATAGAAACATCGATCAGTTGCTGTCTGCATACCCCCTACTAGGGATTGAGCTGAGCAACCAGGGCATGTGCCCTGACCAGGAACTGAACTGGTGACCTCTTGATGCATGGGTTGACGCTCAACCACTGAACTACACTGGCTGGGCAGGTGGTTTTGATTTTGCTTTTGTCTGAGGCTATGGCTCTCCTTGTGTTCTGGGTCAATAAATAATCTTGAACCTGTAATTAGTATGATTAGCTTTCAATTGTATCAGATCCAATTTCCCTAGCGGAAACTTTCTACTTCCGCTCCTAAGTGCAATAACCAGGCTGGATAGAGAGGGTAGAATTTAGACTCACTTGCACATGGCTGCATACGTGAATTCACCATATCAGCTCTGTATCACAGAATGAGTTGGTAATAACACATTTTGAAATTCTCCATTACTCAATTTTTGGAAAAAGCAGCAGAGTGTAAACATGTATGAAAGTACTGTTAGTATAGTCTATTCAAACTCAAGATGCCATGAACTGTTTCCCAATTTAAAGTGTGAGACTGAATGTTAATGAATTCAAGTGTAGGAGATTAAGCAATTATGAAGTAAATAATGGTCAAATTATATTTCATTTAATTAACCTGACCACTATTTTCTCTTTATGGTCTTTTGACATAGGATACCCTTCTCTCAAAGTCACCAATGCAGTGGGACAATAGCTCAAATGCTGGTTTTTCTGAAGGCAATCACACCTGGTTACCTACCAGTACAGATTACTACACTGTAAATGTTGCTGTAAGTATCAATGAAAATTTTATGCTGATTCCAGAAACAGGAAATGGGTTTCTATGCTAATAACATATACTAAAACCTTAACTATTTTTTTTTTAAAACTTTTAAAAATTGATTTTGAGAGAGGAAGGAAGAGGAAAACATCGATGTGAGAAATTGAAACATGGATTGGCTACTTCTGTACACCCCCTACATGGGATCAAGCCCACAACCTGGGCATGTACCCTGACCAGTAACTGAACCCACAACCTGTTGGTGCACAAGCGGATGCTCAACCAACTGGCTACACCAATCAGGGGCTGATACACTTCAAATCAATCGCATAGACTTCTCTTACAGCTTTCAAGTCATGTTTGTGTGAAAATACAAACTGGTACAAAGTGTACCATTTGAACTATTACACAGAATATACAACTCTTCACTGGAAAGACCAAGAGCTTTGAGATATTAAGGAAATTTTATGAAGGTCTATCAGCAAGCCTAGCTACCCTTCCCTCTTTCCTCCCCTCAAAAGGAAGGAAAAGAAGGAAGAAGTTGTAATGTGGGCTGGAGAGAAGCCCGTGTACCTGCAGAAACTGAAGACATGAACCACCACTGGCAGACAGGAGCTGTTCTAGCACACCATTTGGTTTTTGCCAACAATGGTGATCAAATTTGCCAAGTTCAGCAAACAAATTTCCTAAATACTGTATTAAATAAAATAAAAAACCCAGTTCCTGTGTCATGCTGGCAATATTTCAAGTGCTGAGTAGCTAGTGGCTACCATAGTGGACAGCACAGATATAGAAAAGATATAAAACATTGTATTTTTAAATGGCTATTACAATCTTAACGGTAACTATAGCTATAACTGTATAATTTCAAAGAATGTTAGAAGGGAAAAAATGTCATAAAGATAACCAATTGATCCAATAAAAAGCCAAAAAGGAAGAAAATTAAAAAAGTCTATAAGTTAAAGAGAAAATTAGGCTACAGGATTATGTCTCAGCATATGGTAACCACAAGTATTCTATATAATAAAACCCTAATATGCAAATCAACCAAACGGCGGAATGACCATCTGAACGACTTCCCAGATGAAGCCAGGGCTGCAAGGGCCGGCTGGGGCTGGCCGAGGTTGTGAAGGCCGGTTGGGGCTGCAAGGGCTGAGCCCCTTGCACAAATTTCGTGCATCGGGCCTCTAGTAAAAGATAAAACTCTTATATTAGAGCAATCTAAAGACAAAATCTGACATAAGACATGGCTAAACCAAAGGACACACAACTAAATACACTGGCCCTAGCCGGTTTGGCTTTTTGAATAAAGTGTCGACCTGTGGACTGAAGTATCACGGCTTTGATTCTGGTCAAGGTCACGTACCTCGGTTGCAAGCTTGATCCCCAGACTTGGTCAGGGCGTGTGGGAGGGAACCAATCGATGTTTCTCTCTGTCTCTCCCCCTCTCTTCCACTCTCTCTAAAAATTAATAGAGAAATATCCTCACGTGAGGTTTAACAACAAAAAAAGAAAATACAGACATCAAGGACAAATGCTAACAAAAAGAAAGCTTGCCTCCCGGCTATAGCTATCAAAAGAAAAAATGCATAATACCTTTTGACCAAATAATTTCATTTATAGATATCTGTATCTAGGAATATTTGTACACAACAAAGAGTCAAGGATCCCTACTGAACCATTGTTTTTAATAGCAGACGACTTTGGAAATGATTTAAATGTATCAATAGACAATCAGCTGGATCATTTATGGTTAATTCTGCACAATAGACTAATATGCAACTTTAAAAAAGAATGAGGGAGATTCTATGTTGTGTTGATATGAGACCACCTCTAACATGTACTGAGTAATAAAAAAAAGTACAGAATGGTAACATGCCACTATTTGTGTAAGAAGGAAAAAGTATGTCTATAATATGTTTGCATAGGCATAGAACAGCTTATTTCATGATACAGAAAATGAAAGAATATGTAAATAGCAACAGTGTCTATCTCTGAGAGAGGGACTGGGAAGCTTGGGGATGGTGTTGAAGAAAACCTTTTTATTTTATATATTCATATACTCTTATAATTGAGTTTTATACTGTATACATGCATTTCCTATTTAAAAAAGTAAAATTACCAAAAGCAGGTGTGAAATATTTAATAGCAGACAAAATAGAATTCAATATGAAAAGCATTGAGATAAAGGCAAATTTTAAAAAACGGATAAAAGAACATTCCACTACAAATCATGAATCTATGCATCTACAATAATGTCAAAATATATAAAACAAATAAGTACTGTGAGAAATGCAGAGAAACTGACAAATCCACAATTACAGAGAGACATTTCAACATACTTCTAGTAAGTGGTCAATCAAGTAGACAAAAAGAATAGTTAACACTTATTGGGCACTTCTTATGCGAGTGGCACTGAACTATGCTTTCTCATGCATTATCTAAGGCTATAGAAAATGTTAATAGTAATTTGACAGGTCATATACATATAGCATATACATGTACCATAAATACTGTTGTACCTGGTAAACAGAATAAATGTATTTTAAACATCCATTAGATATTCATTAAAGACTATACATTAGGCACCTGCCCAAACAACAATCACCAAAACCACCTCTGTCAACATGGCTGGCAGGGGTATAATGAAATGAACATTATCACTGATTTGGCAACAGCTCTGATAAAGATTTGGCAGTATGTATCAATGTATCAAGTGTCCATACTCTTTGACATAGTAATTCTCTTATATTTATATCCTAAATGACCCAAATCTGGGGGTGTGGGGGGGACATCATGAATATAGAAAAAATATTAGAAACTTGAATGCTGAAATGAAAGGGAATGGTTAAATATGGTATAACCATTCAATAGAATAGTTTTTTGCCTTTAAAATGACATTAATGGAATTATATAACAGAAGATGCTTGAAATGTTAAAGGAAAAATAAATACATTAAATTATGTATGTTTTATGGTTAAAAAAATACTGATTTTTATTTTAGGCAGCATTTTCTTTGCATCCTTCTTTGCAACTTTCTGTTCATTAGCTATGCATGAAATACATCTCTGCAGAAATTATGGCAAATCTACCCATAATTCTATGAAATGGAACAGAGAATGCACCAGCAGTTCTGAGTCCATGGCCATCATGGCTGCTTTTCTGCCAGTTACAATAGAGAATGCAGGGAATTTTATTTAGGCAAGTTAAGTATCCATTAACTTTGACATGGGCATTGTTTTGGGATTCCTAAAGTGGAATCCAATCTGATCTCTACTTCAACTCTGGCCAAGATGGTGTATATACTGCAACAAGGTGAAACCCTGCATTTGCAATTTCTATCAGTAGTTAAATAAACTACTCATATCCACTTATTATTACTTACAATATGGTAATTATTTTAAGGGGCAAACTGAAGCAAGATTTTTGGGAAAATTTCTTATTTGATACTAAAGATATTTAAAAAAAATCAGAATCAAACATTTATCTTAATACTTTTTTTTTAAATAGGTCCAAAAGGCTCAGCCCAGATCAGCATTAACGTTATATCAAGAATTAAGTTTGCTGCATGCCAATGAGCTGCTCCTCAGCAGGGGCTGGTTTTGCTATTTGAGGACAGACAGCCACTTTGTCGTGTACACAAGAGAAATGAATGGCATAGACAGAGTCTTCCTTGTGGTTCTGAACTTTAGAGAATCATCACTGCTAAATCTAAAGGAAATTATTTCAAATATTCCCACAAAAGTGAAAATAAGGTTAAGTACCAATTCCACCAAGAAAGGAAGTGAAGTTGATACACAAGCCATTGCACTGGGCAAAGGAGAAGGACTCATCTTTGAATACAACACAAAGACTTTCCTGCATCAGCAAGCAGATGGAAGAGACAGATGTTTTGTTTCCAGTCGGGCGTGCTACTCCAGTGTGTTAAACATCCTGCACAGCCTGTGTTAGACATCTCTGCAGAAAAGGTGAAGACACTGGCTTTGCGTTCTACTTTCAGCGTTTGCGGTAACTTCATGTACAGCAAACTGCTGGGTAAACTTTACAGACAGTCATTAATTCTTAGATATTTCTGCGGCTTGAATGTAACTGCTTTAGGAAAGGTTCTCAAATGTTTTTTAAAGAATAATGTTTAAAATAAAATGATCACATGCAGGAACTTTTAACTTCTTGACATAGCATCAATAGAGATCATCAGAAGACCTCAGGACTCCAGATTATTACAAAGATCTAATGCATTTTAATGTGAAGAATGTTCTCATTCCACAAAATACAGGCACAAAAACTAGAGCATGACTTACCACTAAAGTGTCTAAAAATGTTCACTAGCAAAGAGGCAGGACCTTGATTTGTAAATTGTTCTAAGAAAATTTTAGTAAAACAGACCAACACAAAGCTGTTTTGATGGGGAGAGGGCAGCGTTCTGCCGCCTCCAACCCTTCCTCACCCCCCCTCCACATCCTGAGGAGTGAGATTAGAAATCTATTTTCCTAGGTAAGGGGCATATACACCAAGGAAAGAACAGGGTAAGTGAGATACACTAAACAAAATTAGGATAGAGAAGCAAATTTTAATAAACTATTCATTTACTTAAAAAAACTCACTTTTGCTAACCTAATTGCAAATAAAACTAGGAAATGTTTCCATGTGTTTCCAATTTCCACAGAATTTCAGAATTTTACATATTTCTTAAGAGTCTCGAAAACACCGGTGCTGTCAAGTCCGAGTTCCTCATACAGGAATTTAATCTGGGCTGTAATCTAAAAGAGACACATTAAAAGATTAGATGGAAGGCCGTGGTAGTAGAACTCCTGTGTTCAACTCTGTCTGTCCATCTTCACTGAACCCCGAAGCCAGCAATTTATGGCAGGGATACTTTTACTTGGGACAGAGGCAGAAGGCTGCCAGCGATTACGGTTCAATTACTTGAACAGAGCTCACAAGCATTAGAGAGAGCCTGCTCCCCTCATGGACTCAGTGTTCTTCCTCACCCTCCTGGTCTCAGTCACAGACCTGAATGTGGCCCACGCCGCCCCAACCACCGAAATGTGGAGCACAACACTTCTCTGCCTGAGGACCTGTCAACTGAGAGGGCTGGACAACATACCTTTTTGTGAGAATCCTCAATCACATGATTGCCTCCAGGCTGAATGTCTAAAATGATATTGGGGGCCTGATAGCCTGAAAGAGTTAGCATATGAAACAATTAGAAAGTTTTTCGCCAACTGAAGCTCATTTCTGCCCCTCACCCCTTTTCTAAGTAATCTATGAAAGTGATAGTGAAGGAAAAAGGCCTGACCATCCCTTCGAACAGAGAGCTGGGAGGGGCCAGCAGAAGTAGGACCAGTGGCTGAGGAAGCTGATGGGAGAGGCTGCAGGGCCACAGGGGGAAGGCTGTGACGAGGAGGAAGCCACTGGCTCTGTGAAGCTGAGAGTCTTAGACCCAGAAACACCCATTGCAGCAGTGGTGAGAGGGAGACGGAGCTGGGCACAGGGCAACCGTCTGGAAACATGAATGAGGGTTCCTCCCACCCGGCTCTGAAGGTCTGGGATGTAATGGCAAGAAAAAAGGTAAGAGCACTTGTTTAATAAAATACAAAGATCTAGAGAAAATTAAAGCCACTAGTTTGGGCACTGAGGCTCCAGAGCAAAAACTTCAGAGCCTGTTTTAGGTTCCCAAGAGTAATGGCTCAGTTAATATTGTATTAAATGAATGAATGGCTGTACGATAGTCCATCTCCAATTTATATTTGATATTTAAATTTACTTTTTTTGTGTAACTTATTTTCCCTTGCCTAACTTATTTTAATACTGTCCTTGAACAAAAGGCGAGGTGGTTATAGTTGTAATGTGTGCTTCAATTAGTAGTCAACATAGGAAAAACAATAATTTGTCCCAAATCATAGGTTGGAGATTTGGTCTGTACATGAAATGCATTCCTCTGAGAGGTTTGCTAAAGGTAATAGTCTGCTTAGCTATGTTCCTGCTTTGCGGTGGTCCCCTACCTTCACCACTGTCCTTAGCGTGCTCCGTAACGGCTTCCTTGAGTTTCTCAGTGTAGTTTACAATTCCTTTCAGAGGTACCCGTTCATCGTTTTCATAAGCTGTGATGTGAACTGAAGGATAATGCTGCAAGAAAATGGATGTACAAAGAATGTATATTGTTCCTTATGGTCCCTTTCTACCTTACAGATTATGAAAAATAATTACTTCTAATTTCCCCCCCTAAATGCTACATTTTTCCCTTTTACTTGGTATTCTTGAGAGATCTATAGCATTAGAGTACTAGACTACTCGTCATCTGGAATAGTATCTGCTTAACCAGAGAGACCACGACCCTGCTGAAGCCAGCATGGAATATGAGCAGCGACGGTGCTAAAAGGTGTTGGGGTATTATAAGTAGAAACAACCTAAAGGTCTACTGAATTCCGGCCTGAGCTCAGATCAGGTAAGTATCCTTTTGATCATCTTCACTCTGTCACTGCGGATAGTAATATCATAACTGTCTTTCCCTACCTGAGGTTTAATATTTTGATAGGGGCAGTAACGTTTTATGTAGTTCTTGTGTTTTTCATCAGATGAAGGATTCCCCCATTCTTCTAATTCTTCTAATGTCAGAGGAAGTGTAGTATCCATCATGGTGTTGAGAACATCCAAGAAAGGTGCCTAAAAAAAAAAAAAGCCAAAGGGACTTAAACTTCGACTAACAAGTTGGTAAAATGAGTTACAGGGAACTATACATTATGAACATACATGTTGACATGAGAGAACAGAGCTCAGGAAGCCATGTAGAACCCAGGAGCCACATGCATTCCTCATCCTTACCCAGCACCTTGGCTTTATAACTGGCTTTTAAGGTGTTCAGACTCCTTAAGTGACATTTATATAAAAACAAAGGGCTTATATTCTAACTAGAGGCCTGGTGCACAAATTCATGTAAGGGTGGGGTTCAGCCAGCCCCGCCCCCTGGTCAAACTCCAGGTTGAGGGGACAATTTGCATATTAGCCTTTTATTATATAGGATTTCACAAATTTTGTGCCTCTACACACACACACACACACACACACACACACACACACACACACACATACTTTTATGTAAAAGAATAAATGTTACCACTTGACATCCATTAGGATAGCTAGCTATTAAAGAAGGAAATTCTGACACATGCCACAACACAAATGGATCTTGAGGACATTATCTAAGTGAAATAAACCAGTTATAAAAAGACCCCATTTCTAGGAGGTACCTTAGTCAAAATCACAGAGACAGAGTAAAATGGTGGTTCCCAGGGGCTGGGGGAAGAGGGAACTGAAGAGTTGCTACTTAATGGGTATAGAATTTCAATTTTGCATGATGAAGAGTTCTGGGAAATTGGTTGCACAATAGTGTGAATGTACTCAATACTACTTAACTGTAATGCTTAACTATAACGCTTAAAAATGGTGAAGAGGTGCCCTGGCCAATGCTCAGTGGTTAGAGCATCACGGGTTTGATTCGGTCAAGGGCATGTACCTCGGTTGCAGGCTTGATCCCTGTCCCAGTTGGGGTGGGTGTGGTAGGAAACAAATCAGTGTGTCTCTCTCACCTCAGTGTTTTTCTCTCTCCCCCTCCCTTCCACTCTCTCTGAAAATCAATGGGAAAAGATATCTTCGGGATTAACAAAACAAATGGTGAAGAGGTAAATTTTGTTGTTTTACCACAGTAAAAAATAAAAACTAAAAACTTAGCAATACATGAATAAATTTTCCGTCACCAGTTGGACATTTTACATAAAAATAAAAGATAAATGCAAATTGAAGAAAATCTGGAAAATATCCATTTTGAAAGAAGAGAAAATCACTCATTGGCTTACACAGTGTTAAAACATTTAATAAAATGGTAGCTTTTTTCACTTAACCTTATGGTCTTGTTAACATGCTTTTCAGCTTTCTCTTGCATTAAAACATTAACCACGTATAGTGGGCAAATGGAATTCTATTTGGCTGCCTAGCACCTGAAATCCTTTTCTGCAGTTAGAGTATCCCAAACCTTGTGAGACAGAGGTACTAAATGCTAGGTAGTTCCTTTCCCAGCTTTCCCTGTAGTGCAGGAGTAGCCACATGACTTCAGTCTACCAATCAGACACAATGTGCTCCAAATTCTGAATGGGAAGTTAGTGACTCAAAGAAGTAGGGACCACAGAGAATTTATTCTGGCAAAACTGCCACAGCTATTTCAAGTTTCTAAGCAACACTAGCAGTGTGAAGTGACGTCTGCCCAGTTGTGGTGGTAGTGATTGCTTCATGGGATAGGTTAATGGTATGTTTTGGACATGCTTCTGGTTGTGCAGCCTCTAAGACTGGTACTATACTCACCCTCACCCAATACACTTCAATAAATCCTTTTTCTGCTTAAAGTAGTTATGTGCTTCTAATTAAGAACTATGGTTCTGGTGCTTCTGATTAAGAACTGACTCATACAGATACTACTAGTATTGTTGGATACATTTATACTGTATTGTTGGAAGAATTAAAGATTTCAATTCTTCACTATTATAAGCAATGTGGGATAAAAATCCTTACACATACATTTCTGATTTCCTTCCTAATTTGTAAAAGTCAAAGTAATTTCTAAAAGTCAAAGGTTGAATTTTCTTTATAGTGTCAATAATTTTTCCATTATTATCTTTGTGATAGGATTTTCTTCCCCTATACGTAGTCTTTCTATTTTAAAAATAGATGCACAGTTCAGAATTACTTAACACTTATTTACTTAATTCAAACCCACAGCATACACCCCACACCCTCAAAATAAAAAACTTAAAAATAATTTACTCTGCTCATCCCAATAATTTTATTTTCTAGAGCATCTAACCAAGAAACAGGAGAAATGAGCTGCTATAGCTTCATAATTTTGGACATAAGGAAAAGACTATCAAGCATTTTCAGAATAAGGTATTTCAATTGAAGTATAGAAAAACTACCCCTAAAGACCATTAAAATCAGAGTATCTAAAACCAGAGAGCCCCTAAATCTAGGACTAAAAGGTTGACGGGCAATAGAGTAAAACACTTGGTGCACTTCAGAGTCCCAGTGCACTCTGCCTTACTTCCCAGAACTGATGAGTCTTATATGCTCTGTATCTTCCACCAATTCTAAAAGTTCTTACCAAAAAAAAAAAAAAAGGATAGCTATTAATAACCTTCAGTGAAAATCCTTAAAACTTAATAAAGAACACTGTCAGGGAAAAGTAAAGGGCGAGTAGTTGGATTAAAATAACTTTAGAAGTTCACTCAGAGCTACAATTCTTTGTTTAAAATTGAAAAGCTTTGTTACACTCATATGCTATGGTAAACCAGAATTTTTTCTCAGGGCAGCTCATGCGCCCCCCCCCCCCCCCCCCCCGATTCTGTAAACAACGAGAGACAGCATGTACTCACCTCCATAGTCACAGCTCTCAGGAGCTCTGGATTAGAGTTACACAACGCTCCCACAAGCACCCCTCCAGCACTGAAAGCAGTCAGGGTTGTTAGACTTGGCTGAGAAAAGCCTTGGTCATGAAGCGTCTTAATGCAAGCCTCTAAGTCAGCAAGGCCATTGAGTTTTTTAGTTAGACGGCCATCAGCGTGCCACTGAAGGCCTAACTCACCACCACCCCTGAAATTAAAGGGCAAAAAGGTTTCAGTGGAGAAAAAAAATATGAATAATATAGGTCGGGGTCAGCAAACTATCTTATGGTCCAAATTTACCCGGAGGCCTGTTTTTATATGGCCCTCGAGCTAAGAGGTGTTTTCACATTTTCAAAGGTTGGGAGAGAAAAACCCAACCAGGAATATGCAGCAGAGCCACATGAGGCTGCAAAGGCTACCATGTTTACTATTTAGCTCTTTAGAGAAAAAGTTTGCTAACCCCTGAAGTAGACAATCAACAGACAGGCTCGAGTGCCTGCCGACTATGTACCAGACATTGTGCTAAATGCAGGCCTTAGAACATAAATAAGCAAAAATCCCCTGCCCCGGAGAAGGTCATCATTTTGTGGGGAAAGAAAACAGCTACCAAGAAATCTGGTTGCTGCTATTACACACACGTATTTAAGGTGCCACAGAAGCAGAAGAAAGAACATCCATGTGTCAGGAACACAAATGCTTCACATGGAGATAATACATAAGCTGAGTCTTAAAGGAAGAATATAAGTTCCCAGAGGGCAAAGAAAGGGAGACATCAGGACACCATGGAACCAGGGCACCGAGGGGAAGCAGCTTGTCGCCTGGCAGGACAAGCAAGGCTGGCTGTGGAGGCGTGTATGGCGGGAGCACAGGACATGTGTGGGGAGTGAGAACAGACGCCCTTACAGAGATAAGAGAGATCATCAGGATGTTAAATACTATACTGAGAAATCTGGACTTTATTATGGAGATGGGGAGGTAGTGAAGGATTTTAAGCAGAAACACAATATTTGTGTCTTGAAAACAGCTAAAATAAAATGGAAATTAGAGTGGAAAAAAGGAGTTCAGCTTAAGAGGCTATTTTAGAAAAACCTAAACTCGGGGGAATTAAATGGAAATAATAATGTTACCAAATAAGAGACTGACAGTATTCTAAAAATCCTAAAAGTCTGGTACAATATCCTAAAAAATGTACCCTTTTGTTTTTTGGATCAACTAATGTTACCAAATCAAGTTCCACCAGCATAGGTGTAGGAATACATAAATTCAATACAAATGAAAAAAGAAAGTTCTGCTCGTGATGCACTGTTATTGTGGGCATCTGTCACAGTGCTCGCGCACTCATATGCCAGGATAAATATGCAGACTCACCGCACATGGCAATATGCTAATATCCATCCATCGTCCACCAATGCCCTCCTTTCAGGCCTGAAATTCATTTTCAAGTCCATGCCGTAAGCTCCATACACATGGACCAGGAGAGGTTTTTTCTGCAAGTCCTCAGAATCCGTTTTGTGGAAGATAGTCATTGGCACTGACCTTCCATCCTGGAAATGAAGATTTATTATCCATGTAAACAAGAGTATTTTCAAATAGTTTTATCCCCTATTTTATATTCTGCTTATTGACGCTGAGCAGAAACTTTAAGACAAAGAGTTATGGTCTCTAAACTCTATCTCGACACTTACTTTCAGCTACTTGGCTGACCCATAATATTAATTAAAAAAGAGCAGCAAGACTATGACTTGAATATACTTTATTAAATGGCTTTTCCTGATAATAAAGTGATTCCAAAGCAGTGGTTCTCAACCTTGGCTGCACATTAGAATCACCTGGGAATCTTTTTTTTTTTTTTTAATATATTTTATTGATTTTTTACAGAGAGGAAGGGAGAGGGATAGAGAGCTAGAAACATCGATGAGAGAGAAACATCGATCAGCTGCCTCCTACACACTCCCCACTGGGGATGTGCCCGCAACCAAGGTACATGCCCTTGACCGGAATTGAACCTGGGACCCTTGAGTCCGAAGGCTGATGCTCTATCCACTGAGCCAAACCGGGTAGGGCACCTGGGAATCTTTTTAAAATCCTGATTTCTGGGCCTCATCCTCCAGAAATTCTATTTCTTTGTTATGGGGTGAGGCCACAACATTAGTAACAAAGAAACAGAATTTCCAGAGGATGAGGCCCAGAAATCAGGATTTTAAAAAGATTCCCAGGTGATTCTAATGTGCAGCCAAGGTTGAGAACCACTGTTCTAAAGAGTTCTTCACTACCCAGCACTACTGTAAATTTTTTCCCCAAGCACCTATTAAGATTAGACATACTAGCGTAGCATTCTTCCTGTACCTAGGCCTATATACTGGCACTACTCATCTTTAAATATTTACAAATAGACAAACTAAAGAAGTTTTAACAGCTCTATGTTCTATCCTTTACAGACAGAATACTCAAACACAAATAAAATAACATTTTTATTTTAAAGATTTAAAGTTTTATATATATAATTTTTTTTTTTTTGGTTTGTTAATTCTCACCCAAGGATAGTTTTCCATTGATTTTTAGAGATAGTGGAAGGGAGGAGGACACAGAGAGAAACACGGATGTGTACATCGAGCGCCCCGACAAGGGTCAGGGATCAAGCTTGCAAATGAGGTACGTGCCCTTGACCAGAATTGAACCCAGGACCCTTCCTTCGTCTGCAGACTGATGCTCTATCCACTGAGCAACCCGCCTAGGGCAAGTTTTGTGAATTTTAACACAGAAATTACTTTTAGGACAAGTAACTATTCCCCAATTTAGTTCACATTCATCAATACCAATTGATTAAAACTAGGCACTCCCTGGACAGATAAAATGAAGATAATCTGGATGATTTCTTATCTTTCTTTCATAGTAAAAAGGTGGGAGAAAATTGGTTCTCATCCTGCCTACAGAAACTAATGAAATAGCACTAGTTTAAGGAAGGAAAAGAATATAACCAAGCCATATTCCCTATTTTTTTTCTCATTAGAAAACTTCACTTTGGGGCACTTCCTCTCATTATTCTAGATGCAACTTGTTACGATAGTGGAACTGAATTTTCACTTCTCAGTATGACTCATTCTTATAAAATGCTGTAGATTACACCTCAACTTCAAGTAAACAAGCTGAGGAATACATGCTGGCTGAAAAGTTAGGAAAAGGAAGAGGGTCAGGATGGGAGCAAGCCTTGCGATGGGCTAGTCCCAGAGTGCATCAGTAGTGCACAATGCCTGCAGAGCTAGAGCAGCCCATTCAGCAGGTGCTCCCTTCTTCAAGAGTCCCTTGGCTCTCCAAGAACTTAGCTTCCATTAGGGGTATAATAATTACATTTTGACAGGCTGGTATGAATGCCATACTTGTAAAACAAAACAAAGCCTAAACATACATATTTTATTGGCAAAAAAAAAAAAAAAAAAGAAAAGAAATCTGGAAGGTGATACACTAAATGGTTAACAGTGATTTTTTTTTTTCTGAGAGTTACAGGAATAACTGAAAAGTAGTCATTTAAACTTCATACATTCTATTTTTGCATTCATTGAAATGAAGGGCTTGATGTGCTAGTCATAAAATTTCTAATCCATGTTAAAGTAAATATGAGTCTTAAAATTAAAGAAAAATGCATTTACCCCTTAAACTCATTTGGGTCTTACTGTGGTCTGAAATCCACTTTACAAAACTGTATACCCAGCAATTGCACAATACTTGGCAAATAGTAGGCTTGCAGTAAATGGGGGCTGACAGTGAAGATTACAAAGACTTACCTTGCTTTTGGCTTCTAGACGTAAAACACGACTAGTTTTTGTGATTGGGTCTTCATGTCCAGTTTCCTCAAACAGTTTGCCTTCTGCAAACTTGTATGTGTAATATTTTGGGGGACGTATTGGAGAGCAAAGCTGAAAGGGACAGTTCTTTGGGTCTGAATTTGTATCCATTATGAATCCACAGGCCCAAGGAGGGAGCTAAAGAAATAAAAGTTATTTTTACTCTTTATCTGGACACTAGGTATATTAATTAAATTTCTGGGTCTGCTTCAAACAAGATAATGTGAACATCAGTTTTACTTCTATCCATTATCACATAATGCTTCATTCAAGGATTACTTTAGCACAACAGAATACATTTCAAGTAAAAAACAAACACAACTCTATACCAATGATCAATAAAATAAGGAAAAATGATAGGAAAATGGTTTATCATGATTCTGGATTTAGATGAACTCTCTAATAAAAAAGTTTATTTTGGGGCATAAACTTGGGCAATAAAATAACAGTAAAAGGATTAATAAGAGCAAATCAAATAGTAATTCAGAACCAAGCAACATCTTCAAGATCTCTGTCCTCATAGAACATGAAATCTCAGACATGTATTTTTAACAATTTACCCACCAGCCCACACTCTGCTGCCTAGATAGCCACAGTGATGACAGTTATTATTCCAGGGCTACAAAATGGCGCAGCAGCACTAAAGCATTTACAATTTGTTTCTAACTTTAGCTCTTAGGCTAACCATTGTGCAGAACAAAACCTTTCCTGCACATTCACTCTGAAAGACTCAGAGCTATTATGATTAAGATTCTTAACTTTAAGAAAAAAAGGAAAGGAATCAAAATTTATTCTCTCAGAGCAGCAGGGTCCTGCTTCAAGCCTTCCACTAACATCCTTCTTACACCTTTTAAAGAACTCTGGTAAGCAGGCTGACAGTGTCTTAGAAATGGTACAGGAGTCAGAGCATTAAAAGAAAATTGCCTTTCTTTTCCTGAGTAATTGTAGAAAGAGCAAATTCCTTAGAAAATCAGAGGTCTTGGCACAGCAAAGTCACTGGTGGGCACTATTCAGAAAGGGTAAGTGGGGGATGTGTGCATAGAGAGTGCACCATTTAACTTGTAGAAACTAGGGCCAAAGAGCTTATGTTTACAGAGCAAATTTCTTGTAATTAATCCAAAGAATCTATTTTCCTGAAACTAAGAAGGACATGCATTTGCAATATTTCTTTACAAGAGTTCCTGATCACTCTCCTCAGGTTGAGGATTATTTTCAAGGACAATACATCTAAACGCAAGCCATGACCAGAAAGAAAAGGGTAGTCATGTAAGTTGGGAAAGCTGGTTGCATGAATGGAGTGAGCAAACCGAGACCTTAGTGGGACGGAAACGAACAAGCACCACTGCTAACCTTGCAACCAGGCCTCAGGCTGAGGGGACAAGGCTCCTCGGCCCAGAGGCACACGTCGCTCTGCCCTTTGGTGACTTTAAAAGTTTCTGTGTGATCCACGTGTTAAGCTGTTCTAGTTTTATACCAAATGATTCCAATAAAGCAAAAAGTCCTTTGGGTGTATTTCTTAAACTAATGGATCAAAGTTAGAGTTTTAATTATAATAACAACTATTCTAAGGCTATAGACTTTTTTTAAAAATATACTTTATTGATTTTTTTTTTTTATAGAGAGGGAGAGGGATAGAGAGCTAGAAACATCGATGAGAAAGAAACATCGATCAGCTGCCTCCTGCACACCCCCTACTGGGGATGTGCCCGCAGCCAAGGTACATGCCCTTGACCAGAATCGAACCCGGGACCCTTCAGTACGCAGGCCGACGCTCTATCCACTGAGCCAAACCGGTCAGGACAAGGCTATAGACTTTTTGAAGTCTGTCCAGCTGATGGAGAAGGAAGGTATTAATGATCTCAAGACTATCTTAAGCCACCTTTCCCATTTGGATAAGCCCGCAGTATCAACCATGTGTATTAGTGGACAGCATCCAAGAATAATTATATCTTAAATGCTGAAAGGAAACTGGCCCAAAGGTTTTTGTCCTTTGTATATGGTGCTGCCCATGCATATCATTCAGTGTGTAATGCAGTTTGTGAAAAGGCTCTGATCTGCGAAATTCTCTTTAAGTAGCACCTGGCATATAATATAGTATCTGATTCCATGTGATAATGACTCTGAACATTATACATGGCATACTAGGTCCTAGTGGTTGGGAGGGTTAGGGAATAAAGTAGAGGATATAGAATAAACTAAAGACATGATGCTTATTCTAATGGAAGTTAAAACCATGGAAAATAGAAATACTTACAAAAACTATAAAAGGTCATATTTACGTGAAAGTCAAATCTTATTATAACAGAGTAAACTCAAGACATTCCTAATTTTCTTAACAGAATTGTGTAATAAATGCACTGCTAGAAATTATGTATTTTCTCCTATCTGTATTCACATAGACTGCCATAAGTTTCCCAGTTAAAGATATCTGAATTAGGCTATCAATTCAGATATCTGAATTGATATCTGAATTAAGATATCAATTAGCAAGTAAGAGGACACACTTTGAATCTAGATGAAACCAATAAAAATTTGCTAAAGTAAAATCACCATTTGTGTTTTAAGACAACTGTATAGTCCTCTAAGACACCAGACATTACATTTGATAATCTGATTTTATGAGGCTGCTAGGAAACTTTGGTTGTTTTAGGCCCTGGTAATTTCTTATTTTATATTACTCTAACAATCTCAAAACTAATCTCCCTGCCCTTTATCTCCTGCTGCTTCAGTGTGTCCTAACATGGCTGCCAGATAATCTCATGAAGTATAGCTCACTCCTCAAATCACTCTCCTACCCCCAAATTTCACATGTTCTCCCTCTTCATAATTTATGCATAAATTCATTACTGTGACAATCAAAGAACATCAAATCATAGCTTCAGCCCCCAGAAATCTATTATATAATAAAACAGAATTACTAGCAGGTTCCTGAACATCTTCTGAGCTACTCCCGCTTAGTGCTTCATGTGATAGATATCCTCATCCTAGAATAGCATTTCCCTTCCTACCCATCAAATTCCTGTCTATCCTCTTTGGATCTTGCCTACAACTATAACTGTGTATCCTAATAGTGACTTTGTATCTCCTTCATTCTTGACACCACTTACTTAAACCACCTTCTACTTGCTCTTTGTGTTAGTTGAAGCTCATGATTAACTCTATCCTCCTTAAGGCCAGATATTTTGTTCTGCTGTCTTTCCACTCCAGAGTGCCCCATACAGCACTTTGTGCATAGAAGTTCAATAACCACCTGGTGAATTTCCAGGAATTGCATTTTAACAGAAATTGCGACAACACTGCAGTTAGGGAGGTATAAGTGGTCTATGCTTGCTGGTCAACTGGCTCCACAACTCCTTCCATATAAGCAAAATGCAGGCCTCTCCTCTTCCCTTCAGTGTCTGGTATCTTAACTCATGTTAATGCTGCTTTAAAAGTGGGCAATAAGGGTGCCATCGTAAGTTCACTTGTGGAGGCAGATTATCTTTCCTGGCAGCCACAGGCAATACCAGTGGGTCAGCCTGCCAGGGACATGTGCCAGCATCACAGCTGCTGTAGTGGAAACCACTGCCACCCACTTCTTGAAAGAAACCAAAGTTCACTTTTCCTCATGCCCTGGTGAGAGACATGGCAGAGATGATGCAGATGCACGCACGCAGTGGCACCAACACTGTGGGCACTACCCTACTGGGCATGTGGGATGGAGCAGCAGGCAGTGGTTAGGCACTAGCTGCCCAGTTGGCCTGAGCTATTACTATATTTAAAGCCGGAGAAATAGGTGATATATAGAAAGAGACCTATCTCCTAAATTTGACAAAGACCTAGTATGCTAAGTGTCATTTAAATTAATTCTTTTAAGAAAAAGTACATTGCTATTATTAAAAATTTGATGTTCTGGTGAAGCTAAACTGCATGTATTTTGATTTACACTACTGTCTTTTGATAATTAAACATACCTTTAGAGACCGAACTGAGTCATCAGCCAGACCAATCACATTAACATAAAGCAGATTGCTGTGCTTCAGGAAGAGAACACAGTGATCCTTAAACATGTCCAAGTCTACGACTTTGGTATTTCTCTTCATTGTGAAAAATAAGTCCCAATTCATGATAGCAGGTGTATCAGCTGCTGTTCTCATTAGCTGTGTGGAACAAAGTTAGAAAAGATCTAGGTAACAGAACATGATATCTACAAAATCCAAAGCCATAGATGAAACCACTGAAATTAGACATACTATTCTTCACTGTTTTATGGAGAGCTAACTGCATCAGGGCTGAAGTGTAACCATCACCACTGAATGAGGCCTGGTGCTTAGCTGATAGCCAACCAATGGACACTTGAGTGAGGGTACTGACATCCAGCTGACTGTGGAAGCACCAGTGAGCCTCGCTGACTCTGACAGAACAGCTTAGCTGAGAACAATCCAAATTGCTAACTCACAAAATCATGAATTTATAAAACTTTGTTCTTTTAAGCTACTAGGTTTGCCTTTGATAACTGATATAATCAGCATAGAGTATGCTTCATTTACTATCATTTTTTAGGAACAATTCAAATGGGACTGACTAAACACAGGATGGTAGCATCAATTTCTACACTTTACCAAAAGCCTATGAAACAATGAACTCTTAGAGCAAGAACTGTTGCTGATGGAAGTGTGACACTTTTTAACAGCCAAATGGAGCTAAGAAATAGAGTATCACCTTGAATTCTGTAGGCTCACCAACATTAGTGAGAATGTATAGTTCATCATCTCTGTGTTCAACGTAGTAAAGGACCCCATGTATTCGCTTCTGGATAAGTACAGGTGGATCCCAAGGACTTAGGCCGTCTATCAACCACACTTCAGAAGTGGTCTTGTTCATGATATTTATGGTGAGGAAACGACTGTCTTTTGTCAGATAAAGGAAAACAAAATAGCTACACACATACACATACACGGGGAGAGAGAAGAGAGGGAGAGAAAAAGATATGAAAATCCAATAAATTTCAAGTGCATGCTACCTTCTTAATGACAGTATCTTACAGGTGGTCAGTATATATATTAATTAAAATGCAGATAGAAAATAAAAACAATTGCTTAGTGAATTCTGCTTGTAAACTAAAATTCTGCTATTATTTTTCTCATTGCCTCTAAAAACATTAAAAATAATTTTTATCTAATATTTTATTATGAACATTTTTCAAACATGCAGAAAAGTTGAAAGAAATGTACAGTAAATACCCATATACCCACCACTAAGATTCAATCATTAACAGTTTGATATGTATATATAAATATATATATCTCAACATCACATATCTATGTATCATCTATCCATCTGTTTCTGAACGTATTTCAAGGTAAAGTAGAGACATCATCTCACTCGCAATCTCATTAACAGATTATAGGCCTTTTTGCTCAGAAGAAGAAATAAACTTCCTAGAGGAATATGTAATTACAGTGGGGCCTTGACTTAGGAGTGTCCCGACTAACGAGTTTTTGAGATATCAGCTGTCTCTTGGCCGATTTTTTGCATTGAGTTGACAGAGTAATTTGAGTTAATGAGCTCCTTAATGAGCTCCTTAACTAGCTCGGTCTAGGAACGAATTAAACTCGTAAGTCAAGGCCCCACTGTACTAGAGGCCCAGTGCACAAAATTCGTGCACGGTGTGTGTGTGTGTGTGTGTGTGTGTGTGTGTGTGTGTGTCTGTGTCCCTGAGCCTGGCCGGCACCCTCTCGCAATCCAGGACCCCCTCGGGGGACATCCCTCTTGCAATCCGGGACCACTGGCTGCTAACTGCTTGTCTGCCTGCCTGATCGCCCCTAACCACTCTGCCTGCCTGCCTGATCGTCCCTAAACACTCACCTGCTTGCCTCATTGCCCCTAAACACTCGCCTGCTTGCCTCATTGCCCCTAACTGCCTTTGCCTGCCTGCCTCATCGCCCCTAACCACTCTGTCTTGGTGCCTGCACTTGGGACCCAGGCTTCCCTCCTCCGACTGGCCGCAGGCAACCGGGACCCGAGCTGGCTTCGCCCGAGCCGGCCACAGGCACCCAGGATCCCGGGCGGCTTTGCCCAGGCAGGCACTCGGGACCCCAGGCAGTGATGCCCGGGTCCTGGGTTTGCCAGGAAGGACGTCCAGAATGACGTCTGGAAGACATCCAGTCTCTCCAGTCTAATTAGCATATTATCCTTTTATTAGTACAGTTTAGAAAGGCACAGTTACTTTGTTTTTCCTTTGTACACATGTTGAATTTCCTTTTCTCCTAGTTTTTTTTTTTTTTAATATATTTTATTGATTTTTTACAGAGAGGAAGGGGGAGGGATAGTGAGTTAGAAACATCGAGAGAGAAACATCGATCAGCTGCCTCTTGCACACCTCCTCCTGGGGATGTGCCCGCAACCAAGGTACATGCCCTTGACTGGAATCAAACCCGGGACCCTTCAGTCTGCAGGCCGACACTCTATCCACTGAGCCAAACCAGTTAGGGCACTCCTAGTTTTTACAACAAAACAGATCAATAGTCGAAAAGAAAATTCCTCACAATTCCACTAACCTAGCACATTTAAAAAAAATTAATGTAATTATTTTAATTTTTCTTGTTTTTCTTTTAAGGTTTATTTGTATTTCATTCATGTCTTTAAATAGATGGAATTAAAGTATACATGCAATTAAAGATTCTGTTTTAAAAAAATCCTCACCTGCAGACATGCTTATTAATTTTAGAGAGAAGGTAAAGGGAGGGGGGAGAGAGAGAGAAAGAGTGGGAGAGAAAATCGGTCAGTTGCCTCCCGTATGCACCTAGATCAGGGATCAACCTGAAATCTTTCAGCTTTATGGAATGACACACCAACTGAGCCATACCAGCCATGGCAGGATTCTGCATTTTTTTATGTCACATAATATCAATATCTCCCCCAACATTAGTTAGTCTTTATGATCATTAAAAATCAATTTCATTAAAACAATCATCATTAGAAAAAAAGCAATAACTATATCACTGGACCAAGAATGTTAGTTCTATGGCCTGGAATAATGTAATTCCTTTAGACCTAAGATTATTACTATTAATTAATTAGGAGTTGTACAAGATTCCCTCCCTCCTTCCTTCCTTTCTTTCCTTCAAGATTTTCTTTAAGATCCTTGCCAGCTCTTATGAAACGAAGGGTTAATTTTCTTGATTTGATATTGACTTCACTGCCATAAATTTATTTAGTATTAAATCCCCCCTTTATTTCCCTTGCAAAATCTGTTCAGATATTGTCCAAACTATATTGTTTAATGATGTATGAAGTGACAGGACCCTTGTGTTAAGAAAAAAATTGTTTCTCAATTACAAGGAATTTTGCCAGATACATTTACTATCATTTCCTTCCAAGCTTAAGTGGTAATATAAGGCATGAGTCCTGGAGATTACAAGGAAATAAAGACAAGTAGCTTTAGGAAGGAATTACCAAAGTACTGGGAAAGGTAAAATATAAGGACCAATGGCCATCATGGCTCAAAGCAAAGCAATTTAAAATTCAGATAATCTCTATGAAATGCGTAGTGAATTCTGTGCAACTGATACCATGGTATCTGACTTACAAGAGATTTATAATTGTTATATGACAACCCTATTAAATGTTCAGTCAACAACTCCTCTGATGCGTCACAGTCCAGAGAGAATGTGAGTAACTCATCATTTGCAGTCTAATGATGTATTTGTGTTTACTTTGGAGTTTGAATATGCCTAAACTCCAGTTTTGAATCTAAACAACTTACAAAAAAGAATGATTACAATATTATATTTGTTTCCAGCCAAAATCAACATTTTAAGTCAACCAAGAGCAGCACTTTAGATAACTGGAGAAATACGTTGGAGAAAAAGCTTTAATTGCATTATTCTAGTTCTAGTACCTTGGGTCTTTTTCTGTGTAAAAACGTTCATTACGTTTGTTTTCACCAAAAGTGGCTCGATACACATCATGACAGCGAAGGTTCCTCTGGAAGGTATAGAATAAAACATCCTCATCTTCTTCATCCTTTACCCATTCTGGGGAAAAAATATTAAAGAATTATACATAGCCAACTACTTACAGTTTTATAAAAAAGGCACAGACCTAGCCAGTTTTGTTCTGTGGACAGAGCGTCGGCCTGCGGACTGAAGGGTCCTAAGTTCGATTCCGGTCAAGGGCACATCCCCGGGTTGTGGGCTCGATCCCCAGTGGGGGGCTTGTAGGAGGCAGCCAATCAATGATTCTCTCTCATCACTGATGTTTCTATCTCTCTCTCCCTCTTCCTTCCTCTCTGAAAACAATAAAAATATTAAAAAATAAAATAAATTTTTTTTAAAAAAAGGCACAGTGCATTCTAAGTTTGAGTGCCAAAGAAAAGAGATGTGTAAGTTTATCCCTGGAAATCTAAATCTAACATAGGTTCAACTGTATATAATCTGTGTTATATAAACCTAAGAGCTTTCCAGAGGATAAAATATTATACTACATCAATTCTAAGTTTTCAAGTTGTTATCAGTCTCAGGACACTAAAGTTTCTAAATAGGAGAGGAATGTTCAATATTTAGGGAAGACTTTGGTAAAGTCATTATTTGTTTTCAGGAGATAAATTATGTTTAAATCTAAAACCTCTAACTTTAAGTATGAGGAAATATTAGATCATTTTCTCTCATGCCTAAATGTTTTCTGTCTGCTTTCAAGCCACATGATATCTCAGACTACCAGATATACTTTAAAGCTGGGATTTTCTTGACCTTACCAGAAGCTGTCAGTGGAAGTTTTCACAAAATGACATCATGACTGCCACCTGGCTGACAGTTACTGTAAGGCAGCATTGTATAATATGCACCCTGATTTTAAGAGATAATGTACCAAATTTAAGTATTAGGATCAATTCATTGCAAAAGCATGTAGTTATGAAACAATGCGGAAATTTATGACGGAAAATGAAAAAGGAGGATAAGGTATAGACATGTATTACTCAATGATCAATGATAACATTTAAAGTTGGCTGTATTAGTAAAAATATCACAACTTCTACTGATGAATAAGTTAGTTCGACGACATGTTCTGAAGTTTCTCTTGGTAGTGACCTTGGGTAATTTGCTATCAAATATGTAATTAAAGAAGGGGCAGTCCCTTGAATAAGAGGCACATAGTCAGATGTGGAGACCACAGGGGTAAACAAATCAGGCACTCAGTTTCTCATTTACTCTCCTGGGCAAATAAAATGTTTCAAAAGTGTGAACAATTCTCTACGGTTGCTTTGTCAAATAGAAGACTGTTGTGGTTGGTGGCTTACCAAAACTGGACACATTGGGGAAAGAAGCTTCCATGACAGGCTGGTCACTGAGCTTCACAACTATACAGGTAGATGCTTCCGAATCTTCCGTTCTTATCTTGGCAGCTACATATTTTTCATCAGGAGCCACTCTGATACAGTCAATGAAGGGCTGGTCTAATTTAAGTTCCTCCAAATTGAACAAAACCTCATAATTATCACTGTCTGCTGCATAAAGAAAAGGATGAAAGAGATAATGCCACAGATGTACTTAAAAATATTTTAAACTGTCAATGTCAAATTAGCATTCCTCTGCCTGGCTGGGTGGCTCAGCTGGTTGAGCATCGTCCTGTGTCCCAAAAATGGTTGTGGGTTTGATTCCCAGTCAGGGCAAATGCAGGAGGCAACCATTTCTCTCTCTCTCTCTCCCTTTCTCTCTGTCAAATCAATAAAAATATCCTCAGGTGAGGAGATTGAAAATAAAAAAATTAAATCAGCATTCCTCTTCTGTAAGAAGCTATATTCTGGCTTCCTGCAGCATTAATGGCAGCTTGTTTTGCACAGAAACTGGCATTAGTTATTTAATATTATCCTATGCTAGTCCATATCATACCATGCATCAACTTATGTGATATTATTCAATACCATTATAGCCTAGTGTTTAGAGACCATATAGAACCTAGAAAGACAATGTAAATGACATTGACTAATCGTACCTAGTACAGTACCTGGGATTCAGCAGATGCTCAAAAAATGCTGGTTCCTATCTCCATTCTTCCTATCAAAGCTTTGAGTGTGGCTGTAAACTATATCTTAAACAAACCCAGATATTAAAAACTAGCCATTTAATAAAAATTCAGAAATCTAAAAAAATTTTCTATGCCTTTGAGAATATCAAATTTCCTATGAAAAATGTGAAATCTGAAAAATCAGAGTATGCTAAAAGGAAAAACTGTGGTATACCTTCTTCATCTTTTGAACGCACCAAGCAGCAACCTTCTTGGTAGTAAACAAAACCTCCATGTTTAACCTGACGATAAAAAGAAATAGTTTATTTAATAATAATACATAATAAATAATTTAACGATTTAAGCATGATTGAATTTAATTAACTGCTTAATGTTCTAACTAGTCAAGATGAAGAAATGGGATCTTTCATAAAAGCATGTTGAAGTTTATAGATGAAGACATAAAAACTATAAAATGGATCACCTTTTACAACACAGTGGTTAAGAAATGGTTTTCATGTGTCCACAATCACTGAAGGAATTTCTTATACACAAATGAAAGAGGCAACAAAGAGAAGACATAATGCAATCTATGTTGGTTCTCATGACTGTACAAAGCACTTTAGTTGTATTTTGGGAACATCTAACATCTCTACAGTGGGGGGCCATTAACAGAGATTAAGGGGCATCTTTAAGATAATCCCGAATGATGTAGGTGAGAAAACTATGGCTCAGATTGGGCTGAAAACCCAGTCAATAACTTTCTGAGATTCTTTCCTCTCAAATATGCTGTCACCACCAACTGTTCATGGTCCTGATTTTACACAAAGCATCTTATCCTCTGTGGGTGACAGATACAGACAGTCTGAAACTGAGAGAATGAATAGTGCTCATGGGTAATACCTATATATTGAAAGCAATTGATTGTGGTAACCATAAAATAGTCAAACAAATATTTGACTTCCGTATAACACGACTTAGAGTGAATTTCTTTTCATTAAAAAAAGTGTAGATAGGCAATCAAATACTTTTCTAATAAGAAAGAAATATGACTCAGTTTCATTTGAACTTAACGTTCGGAATTACTTTAAAAATTTTTAAACAGAATTGTTTTTTCCCCAAAACTAGAATTAACAAAATGTGCTTGAAAATTCACTTTAGTTTTGACATTTATAATTTACATTAAGGATTACACTATACTTATTTGTTGTTCTTTAAGTTTTTAGGCATATTTTAAAGGCCAAAAACAGTCTACTTCTTATGTGGGATTATGCCTATAAATCACAAGGTAGTTAGTTCACTTACATCTTGACTGGTAATATCAGAGTTTAAAAAAATTCATAAATATCCTACCTCTGCATTGATGATTTCGTATTCTTCTTGTGGCTGTGTTTCTAATTTTGTTCTCACTTTTTCAAATGCATCCATGTTTTCTGAAAGGGGTTTTTCGTTTTCTTGTTTAATAGGCAGAATATCCTGGAAAAAGTTTTATTGGTATGAACATAATATTTCAAACTAGGGAAAAATACCTTGGCTTTTAAAATATATTTCTTAATTCCTTTTCATGCAATATTAGGTCTTTACCTATGAAATAGTATGCATTTCACAGATCTTAAATGTCGTTTCTCAAGCTCAATAAATGATCTCCTCTTTTTAATTTAAAAATGTAAACAAAGACAATGAAGTGGATACTTGTAGCTAAACTGTTAATTTAAATGGATAAAACCTTAAGATGCAGAATTACTAAGAAGCACTGGAGAATGTTCAGCAATACTATGGGAAAGGTTTATAGAAAATTAAGCAGTACAGGAAATCCTATGAACATTTACCTATTTAATTCAGGACTTGGAGGTACAAAAAAAAGTCTACTGAGTTTTATCTACACTAATAAAAGAGAAACATGGTAACTGGCGTACGACCACTACCCTTTTCATTGGCTAATCAGCGAGATATGCAAATTAACTGTCAGCCAAGATGGCGGCCGGCAACCAGGCAGCTTGAAACTAACATGAGGCTTGCTTGCCTCAGTGACGGAGGATCGTTGGAGGAAACCAACGTTCCCCGCCTGCGGCTGCAGGCCTCTGAGCAGGCAGTTTAAGAAACATTGTAACAAATACCGCCGGACTTCAGCCCGCAGATTCGCAACATTGTAAGCAAAGGCCAGAAACCTACTTTCAGCCGCGGAGGCCTAAGAGCTGGAGCCAAGACTCAAGGTAAAGCTGGCCCAGATTAAAAAAAAAAAAGAAAGAAAAAAAGGAGCGGTTGGGAACTTCAGTCACTCCCAGCCTGAAAACACCCCTCAGCCCCTCACCCAGACTGGCCAGGCACCCCAGTGGGGACCCCCACCCTGATCCAGGACACCCTTCAGGGCAAACCAGCCGGCCCCACCCATGCACCAGGCCTCTACCCTATATAGTAAAAAGGTAATATGCCTCCCAGCACCGGGATCAGCGTGACAGTGGGCAGCACCCAAACCCCGATCGCCCTGCGGCTCTGTGTGTGACAGGGGGCGGGGCCCCAACCCCCTGAGCAGCCCTGCTCTGTGCCTGATAGGGGGGAGCTCCCCAACCCTCCCCACCCCCCACGGGCCCTGCTCTGTGTGTGATGGGGTAGAGCCATAACCTCCCCATCGGCCCTGCCCTGAGTGTGAGAGTGGCGGTGCCTCAACCCCCTGATGGGCCCTGCTCTGTGTGTGACAGGGGCAGCGCCCCAACCCCCTGATTGGCCCTGCTCTGTGCATGACAGGGGGTGGCGCCGCAACCTCCCCATCGACCCTGCCTTGAGTGTGACAGGGGACGGTGCCCCAACCCCCCAATTGGCCCTACCCTGAGCGTGACTGAGGGTGGCATCACAACCTCCCAATCTGCCGTGCTCTGTGCATGACGGGCCGGCGCCCCAACTCCCCAATCGGCCCTGCTCTGAGCCCGACCAGGGGCTGCACCTAGGGATTGGGCCTGCCCTCTGCCACCTGGGAGCAGGCCTAAGCCAGCAGGTCGTTATCTCCCGAGGGGTCCCAGACTGCGAGAGGGCACAGGCCGGGCTGAGGGACCCCCCTCCCCCCCAAGTGCACAAATTTTTGTGCACTGGGCCTCTAGTACAGTAATAAAATAATACCTCCTGCCCAGCCAGGGTGGTTCAGTGGTTGAGCATCGGCCCATGAACCAGGAGGTCACAGTTCGATTCCCGGTCAGGGCACATGCCTGGGTTGCTGACTTGATCCCCAGTGGGGGTTGTGCAGGAGGCAGCCAATCAATTATTGTCTCTCATCATTGATGTTTTTCTTTCTACTCTCCCTTCCTCTGAAATCAATTAAAAAATAAAATAAAATACCTCCCAAAAGGAGTGATATATTGATGGGAGAGGAAGACATCATTTTTATTAATAAATGTTCACTCTTTATTCACAGCAAGAATTACGGTAAAAAATTTGTCCTACATTGTATCTTCGTTAGCCATCATTTTCTTCTCTCATGGGGATAAGAAGTCCCCCAAATAGAACTGTTCATCAGATCAAAAAATGAATTAATCCTTTATAAAACAGAGCTTTTCTTTGAGTTTAAGTAAAAAATAATATATTCACCGTATAAAGGAAGAACAAGAGAAAGTAATGGAAAATTAATGAACGTGAATAGAGATACCAATGAAAGCTAAATAAGCACTCTATTTTACTGGGAGTATCTAATAAGCTATGAGCTTTAGTTGACCTCTGATTAGCACACAAATACCATATAAAGTATTAAAATTTATATAAGGTAAAACCTCAGTTGTTAGAAAAGAGTTCAATAATTTAACACTCATAGCAAAAGAATTCTAGCTAAGATTTTTAATGTCAACTTCCTGCCAAAGATGACAACTGTACAGTGACTTGTGCCAGAGGGGTATTAAGCCTTTGGTAAGGACCTCCAACAGCTGGTAAATATTTATTGCACAAGTGTGTCCATGGTACTTTACCAACACTTTAGAAAATGTAGGCTATAAATATAGTTTATATCATAAAGCATTTACAATCTAAAATTAAACACGCAACTAAAATAGAAAACATTAAATGGAAAAACAATCATTTTCACAAAGTTTTTTCTTTAGAATTTTTGAGATGCTTTTGATTGGGATTAGATTCAAATTAGCAACAATGGTTATTGTGGTAGTCTAAATCATTCAGTCTCTATTTCAATCTTATAATTATTATCCTTGAGTAATTATGTGAAGTCCAAAAGCTGGAGGCTTTTTTTCACTGTTTATTTTTCATTTATATTTTTTGCATTTTTACAAAATCTAGAGTCGATCTTTTAGAGTTGTGAGGCAAAATACATGTATCGATAATGTCCTACTATCACCTGAAACGCAAATCAGAAGATCACTAGACATCTCTCCTGAAACTATAACTTAGCACGAAGATCTGCCTTTTCATTACAGATACATGCTTATCTGATCCATAATTCCTGTTAGAACTTTTAAAGTCGTCAGCATAGCTACGAAGAGCACCTGTTTCTACCACCTGGCAGCTCCTCGCACACTTTAGGTCAGGGAGCTGGGCTGGAGAGGCACAGCCAACACAGGGCTAAAGGCAACAGAGTTTGGCCCAATACCTGCCCTCTTAGTGAAACTTACTTTACATTCTTAACTTTTTTCTATGTCAAAAGTCCAAATAAACTGAGCTTATCTCAATCAAAATAACCCTGAAAGCAACAGGATTTTTAACTGCCTTAACAAAGGGGAAGTAGCTTTCAAAAGCCTTGTAAATAATTCCTAAAAATAATTACACTCAGGGAAACAGATTTTATCTAATATTCATAAAGTACACCAATTTGTTTTGTTTTTAATTCTATCCCAATAATACCCACTATGTTTTTTAAGCTTGCATTCATTTCAGTGTCAGCTAGCATTATCATTAGGGTATGCAGCAAAACCTATACAATTTAGCCAAGTATCTTTTTAAAATAAAAAAAACATATCTTTTAATTGATTTCAGAGAGGAAGGGAGAAGGAGAGAGAGAGAGAGAAACATCAATGATGAGAGAGAATCATTGATGATCCAGCCTGAAAATCGGGCATATGTGTCCTGACCAGTGCCTCTTGGTTCCTGGGTCAACACTCAACCGCTGAGCCACACCTGGCTGGGCTAGCCAAGTATCTTAATACATGAGTAGTCCACTGGTTTCGAGGGTATATACTACCTAATGGAGCTGAGGTAAGGATAGCTTAACTAAATTTTAGAAGGTTGCATATATATTATCACTCCATTAGTGGAAAAAGAAGCACTGCTCCCCATTTCTCAGGTGCCCACCACAAAACCATTTTAGCAATGCAAACATACAGGAGAATGGAATGTGTAAACTTCATTATGGCAAAAATGGTTAACTCTAAAGACAGAAAAATGGCACTGTAGAAGGATACTAGACCGCTTTTAGTTAGGATGGTGCCATTAACAAATGGCCAATTCCAAGTCTGGGGCAGGGAAGAGTAAAAAGTAGGCTTAGGACATCTGCCAGAGAGCAAGGAAATGCTCAAAGATTAATGGAGACTTGTCAGAAGGAGACAAGGGCCAGTCTGAAGGGGTTCCCACTAGCCACAATGACAATTTGAGCATCAAAAAGAATAATGACTATAATTGATTATAATACACTGAAAAAATTTACAATAACTTGAAAACAAGCAAAAAAACCTCCCCACTAAACTAAAATAAAAAGAGGGTACAACAAAAAAGGAAGCTCTTCTTTACGAAATCATACAAGCTAATAAATGTAGAAAGAATAATAGAATTAGAAAATCATTAACAAACCCCAGTGAAAGAACTGATTAGGGTAAAGATCATTAGTGGTTGTTAAACTCATTAGGTGAAATTATGTTGCGTAATACAATATTTGCACAGTACCAAAGTATTACCCTACTGATTACTTAGTATTGCAAAGGGAATATTGCTCCTTTAACAATGGAGAGAACAAGGATTTATCTCCCTAACCAAAATGATCTAGCATAGATAGCATCATTAATAGTGGGACAATATGACATGTATGTGCAGATACAAAGCATTTCAATTTAAGAAGGAAAAAGAGTAGAAGAAAAGAAATAAAATTAATTTATTTAATGAAATTGATGAAAGAGAGGATCAACAAAATATAAAATTGGTTTTTTGAAAAATGTATTAAAAAAGACATGTATAGCAACGGTGACATAAAAAAGACAACAAATATTAGGAATGAAAAACATCGTATAATTAGAGATATAATAGATTTTAAAAATCACAAAGTTCTTTATGCCACTACATTTGAAAACATAGATAAAATACCTACTTTCAAAGGTAGCTTTCTTGAATCTTCAAGGAACAGATAATCTTTTCATATGTCAACTACTATTTAAGAAAAAAATGCCTACTACTTAAAACTATTCAACTAATTTTATCAGGTTAATATAACCTTGAAACTAAAACTGGACAATCAAAATATATGACAAAAATCATTCTTATAAAATATAGATTTA